CCTGAAAAGTGTAGGAACCTGGCAGTGTTAGAGATTGTCCAGAAAATGCCAAAAAAAATGAATAGATGTTCTCACAAAGAAACTAATTATGGTGTAGCCAGAAAAGGTTCATTAAATGAATTCCTTTTAAATATTTAACAAGCGATGGCAAAAAGTTTCATTAAATAAATAGCTATAAAAAGTTGCAAGACTATCATTATTAATGGTAATGCATAGATGCGGAAAGTTCAATTAGAAATAATAAATAATAGGAGACCAAAAAGAGAAGAGGGTAAAGAAAATAAATTAATTCATAATTATTTAGATTAAAATTTTATATTTGTTAGAATTTAATTGTTCATTTTATTAATTACAGCCCTCTTAGTACTGACATTCCTTGGCCAAACCAGCGCAGAATCAAAGGTAAAGTAAAACCAAACTCTTGCTAAATAAAATATTAAAACATTTCCCCTTTACTCCACTTAGTACCGCACTCCTGCCCGGATATTGGCCAAGCAAACGGGCGCCACCCAGTTTGAGGAGGAGCGGTATGAGGCGCACACGAATTGCAATGAGCACAAGCATCACCTGAAGAAACGTGCCTCGGACGAGGATGTGGACTACGAGGTGTACCAGGGAGTGGTGGGGCGGCCGGGCATTGACTTTCCCATCTACCCACGCATTCCCAAGACCTCCTTTAGCTGTCGCTCCTATGGAAATGGTTACTTTGCCGACATGGAAACGGATTGTCAGGTATAAAGATCAAGTTTAAATTCTCCATTGAAAAACACTCAACAAAATCTTTTCTTCCAGGTCTTCCACATCTGCGAAGAGGGCCGCAAGATCTCGTTCCTATGTCCAAACGGCACGATCTTCCAGCAGAGCGAGCTCACCTGCGACTGGTGGTTCAAGGTGAACTGCCTGGGATCCTCGGGATACTATGCGGAAAGTGCTGAGATCTTGAACAAGCAGCGAGTGCATCGAGTTCGTCCCTCGGTACCTGTTCAAGGCTTCAACATTGTGGGCGGTGGCCTGAACATCAAACCGAAGGTGACTCCCGTCGCTGGACAGGCTAGATCTGGAACCCGCGCCAATCCCGACAGACGCATAGATTCCACCGAGGATGTGCCCGCCTCAGTGGAGAGCGTGGACTTTGATGATGTTTCCGGGGAGAAGCAGCGGAAGGTTCTGCCCAGCATCGATAACAACAATAATGACCATGAAACCCAGATTACCGCGGAGAGTTCCTCCTTCGTCAGTGGCTCTGGAAAACGAAGGGCCAACAAGGAGCAAGGCAATCCCAGTCGCAACAGCAACGACGATGTGACCGTGCTGAAACCCTCTCGTCAAAGGACTCCGGCGGCCTCCCAGGAAAGAGGTGTCTCCACCGAGAGGGCCAGGAATGGCCAGAGGGGCCAGCATCGCTACAGTGGCAGCGAGGAGCACAGCAAGGAGAAGGAGAAACCGGCTTCCATTCAGCCCAAGGAGAAACCAGCTGCCATCCAGCTTAAGGACAAACCCGAGTTCTTTGAGGCCCACTCCACACGATCTGTGCCACAGACCACGCCCCACTACACCGTTGGCAGCTTCTCCACTGTCCGACGCCTGGAACCCAGCAAGTCCACGCCCTTCTACACACCCACAGTGCCCAGCTTGGTGAAGCCGAAGAGCACGGAGGGAAAGCTCAACTATATCAAGGGTGGCCATGTGGCAACGACGCCTAATCCTAATCGCTTTGGAGGAGCCAGTTCAGGCCTCTTCCTGGAGTCTTCGGCGGCGCCTAAGGTCAAGCCCACTGCTAGTGCCAGTATCGAGCTGGATAGCACCTATAAGCCTGTGATCATTGGCATGAGGCACCACTATGATGTGGCTAGTTCTGGCGAGTTCCGTCCACCCGCGAAGTCCAGCGAGAGTCGCGACTATTTGCCAACTACTCCACCTCCGTCGGCGACTAGCAGCGGACCCACCTATTTGCCCAAGAGCGGCAAGTCACCCAGGGGAAACGCGGCAGCAGCTGCTGGAGAGGATGTGCTCTTGTTCGCACCCAATCCCGTGAAGGAGGAATCCGTCTATCGCAATGTGCAGGAGATGCTGAAGACTATGAACTTGCTGAAGGATCAGTTTGAGGACGTGGAACTGAATGCAGCGGCAGCAGCTCCAGCTAGGGTTGGCCTGGAGATCCCACCCTCCTCAGGCCCCGATGCCCTGGTGTCCCTGGCCAAGTACTTTGCACAGGAACACAATGAGACTGGCAACGCGTTGGGTAATCCGAATGTAAAGTCTGATAAGACCGACAAGACCGGTGTGAAGACCAAGCTATCTGCGAAGCCACCGCTACCCACGATCAAGCCATCGGACGCCACTGCCCTGCTCACCACCTCCGAGAATCCTCCAGCAATCAGTGAAAACGCAGACGACATTAAAAAGAGCCTGTTGAGTGACACCACTGTGAAGAAGTACAGCAATCTCTTTGGCCTGAAGGCCGCCCAGGGACGTGGTGCTGGAGAAGGAGATATCAGTGCTGGATTACTCTCTAACCAACCCAATGGAACCCAGTCCGAGTCGGGATCTAACTACCAGCAGTTCCCGCAGATCGGTAGCACGGGCTCAACGATTGGTGCTTTGGCGGAGAAGCCAGAGTCCCGCAAGATCGCACAGATCTTCTCCAATGCTCTCTCGAGCTATCTGGACAACCCGGCTACCTTCCGCGCTGAGCTGGCTGCCCGAGCTCGTCCTACAGAGCCCCCAAGCACGCCCAATTTCCGGCCAGTGACCACGACAGATCCCACGCTGTTCAGCGATGGAACGGCCAAGTACTATCTGCCCACTAAGGGATTGCCTGAGTTGACCACGCCCACACCCAACAGCATTGCCGCCGAGATCAATCACAAATTCGACTCGACGCCCGCCCCAGATTACTCTACCACCACCGAGCTGTATGAGGCCAGTACGAATCGCGGCCAGGAGCTGGAATTCTCGGGAGAGCTAGCGCCGCCCAGTCAGGACTCCGGAGAGGAGTTCTTGCAGCAGCAGCAAACCCAGTCGTTTGTCAAGTCCCGTAACGATCTGCTGAAGGAAGCCAGGCCCCAGAAGCTGGTGACCCACAAGCCCACTGAGCATCCGTGGGCACTCAAGTCGCAGACTGACTTCCTGGATCCCCTGACCATCAATGATGGTCTGATGAAGGAGCAGCGCACCTCGACCACCAGTACCACGACCACGACATCGACAACTGCTTCTGCGTTCGCCTATAGAGTGACCACACCCACGCCTTCCCGCTACGAGTGGGAGGACATCTTCCGGAGCTACGACATTCCCAGGGATGCCCTGCCCTCCAGTAGCGGTCTGCAGAGGATAGCCAACAAACTGTTTGGTGGGCTCAACGAGCAGGAGGCACTGCACCTTCGGAATGTGATGGCCAAGGCTGAGCACGATCGCCAGGTGCTGAGTCTCCTGTTGCTGCTCATCCAAACCTGTGATGACCACAATGGAAAGGCGCTGGAGCGGAGCAGGAAGCATCTCCTGAATGCCCTCATCGACATTGACAGCAAGACGGCGGCCGGAGGAAAGACCTCCAGGCAGCGAGTGACCACTACAACCAACCGCATTCCAGTGACCACCTTCCGACGTGGCGGAGCCGCCTCCGGGGGCGAGTACTTTACCAGCACCACGCCGGGCTACACGACGACAACGGATCTGCCCACCACGACAACGGGGCTGGGGGCAGGCAGTTACGAGGAGACCACCAAGTTCGAGATCCGCGTCGAGGAGCTAGAAGAGGGCACGACGACAACGGTGCCCCTACTGGAGGTCAGCTCGGACCGGCGGGCCCTGGAGCTGCTCAAGTCATTATATTCGCTGGCGTCCAAGTTCAGCAGCAGGCGGTAGAGCGAGGGCGGTGGCGGTTCCTATCGGTGCACGAAACCTTGCGAGTTAATGCCTAACTTTAGTCAACTCCACTCTCCAGCTCCTCCCTGAGTATCCCTACCCCCATTTCAGTTTGATTTCTCTTAATTTAAACCCTTATGATTTTGATTTTTATTTTCACTTTGAACCAGTTACTTGTTAATTGTCTTCGTTTAGCCAATGCAATTTGCGCAATTAGTTTGTAAATATGTAAACGAAATACTCAACGATGAGAGCCCTGAAATACTCCTCCTCCCGGCCGCAACGGGCATAGACTTGGCTGTTCCTGGTGCCCAGCCAAGCGGCTTCCGTTTAAGTTTAATCGAGAGTTGTATTAAATTAGTGTCTTACTGCTTAGTCTTAGCGAACGAGAACTCTTTCCATTCAGTATCCAGTAGGAGCGATCTATTTGAACAATCTGTGTACGTCTTGCTGTCTCTGTTTGTAAATATTTATTTAAACTTAATAAAGTACATATATAAAAGTAAAGATTAATCGTAATGCGCCTTTAGTCGGGAAATAGATGGGTGATGCCTTGCAGTTGCTTAGCCGACTGATTAAATCATTACTATACTCAACTTGGTCTCAGAACTCGCCTTGACACAAATGCAATAATGGCTTCTCCATTTCCCCAACTCCAATATAAATCATTGAGCCTAAGGTCGAGCCCCACAAGAGTCGTAAAATACTCGTGTAATCAGGCGAAATTTAAATATTTTTGTCATTGCTACCGAATGCATTTGCAAGAGAATCGAATTTACTGCCCCCCAAGGACAAGTTCGGATCGGATTGCGATTGCATTGCACTTGAAATGGCCATAATATTGAATTGATCGGCGTATACGTAACTTATATTACGTATACGTCACGTAGGGTCGCGCTGATATATGCATTCTGATAACTGGACGCCGGCACAACAATGGATAATCCAGCGTCGTAAATCTGCTAAAGCGCAAGCACAAACGAACTGATGAACTGTCGTTGCTCTTCGGGGCAGCTGCCACATAAATATTCCAAAAGATGCGATGCAACCAAGTCGGTCGGCGGAATTGGTATAAAATTCTAGCAACATTCTAACTTGCCCTGCAGTTGTTTCTCAGGTTTTGGACAATTCACAGCAGATCGTCGTGGCAGCAGGAAAGGATTAAAAGGATATCTTAGTTGAGAAACATTCATAATTGAAATGATGCAAGGGGCACTGCAACGCTGCTCTTGCGTCTTGGCAGGTGAGTTGGCCAACAAGCCGCATGTAGAGCTGACCCAGACCCAGCCCCAACCCAATCCAACATGGCGCGTAACTCAAGAGTGACGAGCGATCGGCTGTCCGCCTCATCACTATTAGCACTTCCTTTCGAGGGGCGTCTGTCTGTCTAAGTTTTTGCTGCCTTGCATATTTATGAGGCATGCGTCTTGCCTTTGGCCCGTCGACTGCCGCAATTCTTGGCAGCCAATTGATGTTGCGGTGCGTTATTGTTGCAATTGGCACAGTGGTACAGGTGGCCTGAAATTAAGCGGCTACCTTAATGTCTAAAATGTTAAGATTTCAAATTGGTATCCCTCAAAATAAAGCTAATTCACAATGGTTTTAAGGATGTATACCTCTAAAGTCTAACTCAGATTTAAATATTAATTTAAACAAATAACTAGCCATGTTCCAAACCTTATAGTAATAAGATACGTAACGCCCATACATATGAATTTCGATATTTAGAAAGCTCTTTCGGGTGAAGGGGTTCCACATCTCAAACATAATAAAGTCATTAGTTAGTTGCTAAATTTTTGAATGAAAGTCATACCACTGTGCCGGCGGAGTAGGAGTAGGAAGCTGATAAATAAAGATCGTGGTACAGAGACGTCTTGGCCGCACTATCAGCGCCCAGAATCGCGACGTACTTGGCCTTAATAGGGACTGCGAAACTCTTCGCTACCACCGCCTTCGATGGCTGGCCAGGCGTTCATTTCGATTTGGTGCGTCGACGGTTCCACAGCTCGGAGAAGATCTTCGCCAGATTCCAAACACACGCACACACAACCACACTCGATTAGAAAGCGCTAATGTTGGCCCGCCTGTTTCTTCCAGTTCTGGTGCTGCTCTGGAGCGGGAGTATGGCTCAGTTGCAGGTGCAGGTAAGTGATCAATATTCCCTTTTCCTGTTATTTATTTAAACCTTTTTTTGAAAGGCTCAAAGTGGCTACAACTATGGCCGTCCCGAGGTGGCTAGTGTGGGTGGAGCCACCGCCGGGGGTCGCTTAACCCCCGGTCCATATCCCACGGCGGCTGCCCTTCCACTGACCCCTGCTCCAGCCACCACTGCATATGGAGGAGCGGGCCTATTTCCCTCACCCGCCGTTGGCTTTACGCCCAGCGGGCAGGCCACCACGGCCTTTGGAGCACCGGCCGCAGTGGGACCTAGTAACAGCATCAATCAGTCAAGGAGACCTTCACCGGGAGGAATACCATCACCATCATCGCGCAGTGGACCCTACGGCCCACAGACGCCGCAGTATGGCAACGCACCTGGCGGCTCTGCCATTCGAGTTCCCAGTGGCACGTCTGGGGCTGATGCTGGAGACTACAACGATGCCGATGGCGACTACTCTGCCATTCCGGGTGTACCGGGAGTGGACTATCCCATTTACGCCCAGGTGCCGCGCACGAATTTCGACTGCTCGCAGCAGGCCTTGCCCGGATATTACGCTGACATCGAAGCCCAGTGCCAGGTCTTCCACATCTGTGCCCTCAACAGAACGTACTCCTTCCTGTGTCCCAACGGCACCGTGTTCAGTCAGGAGACGTTGGTCTGCGTCTGGTGGAACCAATACGACTGTATCTCAGCGCCCAGCTTATATGCCAACAACGCCTACATCTACGATTACTCCGAACGAAGTAGCTCCAACTTGGCCACACAGCCCAATGCCAACGCTTATCGACCGGGTGCCCCCACCACGACTGCCTTCGGAGCACCGGTTGCCACCACTGGAACCCTACGTGCCACCGGAGTTCCGCCCCAGGTGACTGGCTACAACACTGGACGGGGATCGTATCCCTCGGCCACGCCCACACCCGCCGTCCAGGCTCAGAGCCCCTACGGCTCCGGTGCTGTCCTCCGACCCGCCATTGTTCCGGGCGGTGGAACCAATCGATTGGCGCCAACTGCAGCAGCTGCCGGTCTTCTGGCCACCGCCGCTGGAGCACTACCCGACAACTCATTGGCTACCTTTGGCCAACAGCCACAGGCCCAGGTGGTGGCCAGCGGAAACCGAGAGTATCTGCCGCCGGCCAGTGCTGGACAGCAACGGCAGCGAGGTGGTGGCTCTACAGCATAGTTGGCGCAACACCTCCGACCCCTGGCACCTGTACCCGGATTAATGGCATTAGATTTAGTGACCACCCTAGGCTTAAAATCATTTTTAATTGTTAGGAGCTCCGAGCATAGATCCGTATGATTAGTTTTAGAATCCAAACATTGAAATATACTACAAAGAACCTCTTTGACACGAAATGAAATGAGAAGTTTTCTTAAAGAGCAAAGATTATTACAGTGAGGAAATGTTATATTTTTCAATTAATAGAACATAATGGGAAGCAGCCCATCTGATGACCATGGATCATGCGAACTTCAGCGATAATTTCTTTCTTCTTCTCGCAGCATATATTATTTGTAAAATCATAACGTTTAAAAATTTCCTATAAACTTTATTGGAGTGCACTAAGAAAATCAATTTGCAACATTTTCGTGTCTTTACTCTGCGTAACTTTGCCCTCTTTCAGAAGTTTTCCGTATTCCTGCTTAAAATCTGATCGAATATACAGCTGTTTACCCTTTTTCAGTTTGGGTTGACCAGCCTTTGGCAGCGGTATCGTCGGATTGAAGGCCATTTGCGTGCTGTCGTACTGTGTGAACAGGTCGTGGGAGGAGCTAATGAATAAAATAATAAGTATATATAAGCTTAGTATGATAATATTATATACTCACAGCTTGCCAATATCGGTGGGCAGCGCCCCCTCGCCAGAGGCTGGCACACCGTTGGCTATGTGCATGGCCATCCGCCGCACCGTGGGATGATAGTGTCGCGACAGGAGCGCAAGCTCATACAGTGCCGTGCTGGCCGCATTACAGTACTCCGGATCGTCCAGTTCGGGGTCGTAGCGGCCAGAACCAATGCTGGTGTCCGTGTCCAGCAGGGCATCCAGCACTGAGGTAAGCTGGAAGGTCTGCTTGATGGTGCCCAGCGTGGCCAGAGTGCCGTTATGCAGCAGGTGGAGACTTCCCGTCAGCAGGCGCTTCACGAACGCCATCAGACGCTGTTGGCTCATGTTTCGTCGCCGCTTCACCAGCACCTCGTCCAAGGTGCGCAGAATAATGGCAAAGTCGTCGTGATTCTTGCCAGCCTGCACGGCCAGCATATTGCGGTAGAAATGCTGGTAGAATCGTATGGGATCGATATTCAGCACCTCACCCTGGCCGGACAGAATCACAAATATAGTTTGAATGCAGTGCAGGCGCTCCCGATAGCCCAGCTCCTCCTGTTCCTCCAAAATCCGATTGAGTACATCGATAAGGTCAGCGAAAAAGTCCAGATTGATGACATGAGCAAATCTGAAATAGAAATAATGATTAGAGATGTATTGGAGCAGTATATCAACGGCAACTCACTCTGCCAAGCCCTCCAGAATGGCGCTCAGCACGCGAGACGTAGGATCGTTCTTCAGCACGCGGAAATATATGGTAAACACCATCTTGATGATCTCGGTGAGCTTCAGGTTCTTGGCCTGCTTGTTCTCCTCGGCGCGGGTCTCCTCCAGTTCCCTGTTCACCTCGGTGAGCTTCTTTCGCCTCTTCCGCTCCTTTTTGGATAGGCTAATCAAACGTTGACGATGGGATTCCAGCTTCTTTTGCTTCAGCTCATTCTCCTTCTCGGCATCCAGGTTCACGCTCTTGATCTTCAGACCCATCAGGCAGGTGATGCACTCGACATGGACGTTGTTCTGCTTCGTCTTGATGAGGTTGTTGATCCGCCTCACAATGAAGAGGGCCATTTCATATTTCTTGTCGTTGGCAAAGACCGTCCGGAAGCACTCGTTGACCGCCGTTCTCATCTCCTGGTAGTTGCAGTTCAGCATGTAGACCAGCAGCTGGGCTATGTTCTGCACGTAGTTGAAGTAGGGATGCGCCACCAGCAGTTCGCACATGCACTGCACGGCCACGGTGGCCAACTTGATGGTCTGCGGCGTCCTCAAACCGCCCCTCTTGTTCACCTGCGCCGTAAGATGCTCCAGCTTCTGCAGGAACTTCTTGAATTGCTGCAGCAGAGCGTTCTCGAAGGTCACACGCTCCAGAGTGGCCTTACGCAGCGTCTGCATCTTGGTGTCCACCTGACCCACTCGATACTCGGGCAGAATGTCCTTGAAGATTTCCGTTATGGATATTATGGCCAGTTTTCGAACGGGCATCAGGTTGGGCAGCCTGGTGGCTGGGTTTATCTCGTCCATGAGCTCGTAGAGGGCATGGAAGTTGCGCATCTTGTCCTCGGGCTTTTCAAGCAGGCCAGAGCATATGATGCCAATGCGGTACTTCTGGCGCTCGATCTCCTGCTGGCGAGCAATCAACAGATCCGTCGTGGAAATGAGCTTTGGCACGTGTGCGGCCGCTGATGCTGCCTCGTCATCGTTGACCACATCGTCGTCGCTGTCCTCGAACTCAGTGTCGCCCTCCTCCCCTTCTTCGGAGTCCTGTACTTCCTCCACTTCCACATCCTTCTTCTTGAGCTTTGGCTTTGGCAGATAATCCACCTCTGTGGTTCGGGTTATGATCTGGCCATCTCTGGATTTAATGGGCAGTAGATCCAACTTGATCTTCTGAGCCGCCTGCTCCTTCTTGGTGTCCGAGGCGTAGGCCCTTTCCAAGCCAATGGAAGCCTGCTGCTCAGCCGCGTCCTCGTCGTCAGCCCTGGCCTTTCGCTTGCGCTTGTTGGCTTGCAGCAGAGCCAAGTCGTCGCCGTCAAGCATGTCGGCCACATTGTCCAGCATCAGATCGTCGTCGTCCTCATTGTTTTCCTCGAGCGGATTCAGTCCCAGGGAGGCCAGTTTATTGTGCTTTTTGCGCTGGGCCAGATTATCCTTCTTCCGCGCTTTCTGGGAGAATATATTCTGTCCCTGCTCCCGCTTGGAGAGCAGTTGGTCGCGCTTCTGCTTGTTCTTTTGTTGTTGCTGCTTCGTGAGCGGTGTTTTCTTCGACTTTAGGTGAGCCGCCCGCTTCACCGAGCTGATTTTCACCTTTTTCTGCAGGTAGGCGATTGCAATAGCTTAGTTTTATTAAGATATAGAAAGTTTAAGTACTTACCGTGCCCATTATGTGGCTGTTAATTAATTTTTAACGAAAAAACAAGAAATGTTGACTTTTAAAAGTCGAAGCACATGGTAAACTAAAGGAACTGTCCACTTGCCAGATAAACCAAAACAGATGGTTAGGGTGCTGCCAACTGCATTTTGGACGTGTTAATGGTATTCTTTTATTTTTGTATTTAAATTATTTAAATTTTATGTACAATTTAGAAATATTTTTTAAATTATAATTAAAAATAATTAAATATTTTTTTAAATTTTATAAGCCTAAATATTTCTATTATTTATACGCATAGTAAGATTAAGATTAGAATAAAAATAACGGTACAAATAGGAGTCATATTTTTCTAGGAGACAAAGCTGTACAAATACTCTTGAACTGAGCCGTGATCCAGGCGACGGAATCCGTTCTGATCGCATATTCCGATCTCGATATTGTCGGGAATCATTTCGCAGCCGCCCTTCCACAGCGCCAGGAGGGCGAGGTGAATAGCGTCGTCAGTTTCCAAACCCTCGCTGTAGCGCTCCACCAGGACTTCTTTGCTACGACATGCATTCTTTCCCTGGGCAGAGGCCTTCCAGGGAGAGAAGAGTCCTGTAGGTTCGATCTTGTAGAGCTGTGGACTCTCGTTGCTCCAGCCGCAGACTAACAACGAGACGCCAAAGGGGCGAACGGCAATGAGATTCGTGTGAACCTCCACGACCGAGCCCACTCGTTCTACCAACTCCTTCACCGGTATCAGCACCTGGTGGGTCAGGTAATAGACTTGACCGAACTTCCGGCCCGCTTTCACCAGGATGCGGTAGTCTGGATCTAGTCCCGAGTAGGCCATGCCGATGTGCTTGTCTATCTTTTCCACATGTCGGACACTGTGCACATCACACAGCGGCGATGTTGGTGTCCTATCTGCAGCGATGACCACAGCATTGCACCCTGTGACGCCCACGGAGATTGATCCACGGGCTATTGCAGCCTGGGCCCTCTCCAACTTTTGGTTGGTATAGTTTTCAGATGACATTTTTCCTGTGGCTTGAAGTCAAGATGCCATAATAGTTTTAAGTTTAAACAGATGGGCTTGCTTTGTTTTTTAAAAAATGGGTTTCAAAACATTACTAGAAATCATTTGAATTTAAATTTTGCGCCATTAAATTGAACTCCTTGCTTCCAGGTGTGCAATATTAGCCTTTGGTCACACTATCGCGAAATAAGACATTAATTTATTGTTTTTATTTTAAAAACTTTGTAAACAATCACCAGTTTGTTATAAACAACAACAAATGTCGGACGAAGAAGAAGATTATATGTCCGACAAGTTCCTGGCTGGGTGAGATCTTGCAGAGATTACTCAGAGGAGTTCAAATAACTTGCATTTTTCCCTACAGCCTGCAGGAGGTGCGTCCCAGTCTGGTGCAGGATCGCGGCAAGAAGAGACAGATTGAAGTAGAAACAAAAAAGGAGGAGCAAAGAAAAAGGCAACGGGAGGCCACCGCTGCCGCCGGAACCGTGGACAATGCTCGTCTCCAGCAATCCCTAAGCCAACCACTGTCGGCGGACAATAAGGGCTTCCAACTCCTGGCCAAAATGGGCTATAAGGCGGGTGCTGGCTTGGGAAAACAGCCCGATGCTCGCAAGGAACCTGTGGGAATAACAATAAAAAGCGGACGCGGAGGCCTGGGACGAGAAGCGGCCATTGCAGAGTTGGCTGCCAAGCGGCAGGAACTGAGGAGAGCTCACCTCTTGCAACGGGCGGGCATTGAATCCGGTGCTGAAATCAGCACGGAGGCCTATAGAAGACGTGCCACCCAAAAAGCCGAAGAGAGAAAGCTGCAATACGATATAAGGAGATGCCAGCAAACCTGCGAGTCCTTGGATCTAAAAGCCGACGTTACTGAGCCAGATTTAGAGTTTTTCTGGCCTCCAAAGCCCAAGGAGGAAGAGAATAGCGATGCCGAAGGAGAGCAAGATCCCCCCGAAGAGGAGGAGACGCCCAAAGAGGAACTATACACTCCAGCCGAGCAGCTGGAGCTGCTCACTGGCTACCTGCGCACTGCCTACTCCTTCTGCTACTGGTGTGGCACGCACTACGAGGACTCCGCGGATCTAGACTCCAACTGTCCAGGACTTACCCGCGACGACCACTAGTTTTAGAGAAAATCAATACAAAGCTAGATTAATTAGACATTAGTTTGCAAAATCGCAGCAGGTTTACAATTATGTTACAATAATACATAGTCAAAAAACAGTTAGCGGTGTATCTGGCTTAATGAAATGCGTTTAGACGAGTTGGAATCCAGTGAGAGGGAGCTACAAGCGACCCTCAAGCTTTTGTATCAGATCGTGGGTGCGTTCGATGACACTGAAGATGAACGGTCGTTCCATGGGATCGGTACGTAGCATGTAGTTGATTAATTCGTGCATGTCCTGTGGGAAAAAGTGGGTTTGCAATAATGTTTCGCTGGGCTTGTCACGATTTACTTACGTCTGTGTATATGGAATCTTCTGGAATGTTTACATTGCCGCTGAGCACGGCCAAAGCCACGCTGTCGCCTCGCTCGTAAATGGGATCAAAGGGTGAGCTGAAGTAGCACATTGCATACAGCACACATCCAAGACTCTGAAAAACGATTTTAGTTGATATAAAATGATTGTAAGCATCTATTTTTGTCAATCTCCCACCCAAATATCCGTTCTCTCGTCGATGGTGCAGTATGATTTCACGGTAAATAGCTCAGGAGCCCTGTAAACAATAGAGCTTCTCTCCTCCGCTTCGTCCTGCAGCCGCTGGGCATCCGATTGGCCCACTATCTGCAGCCGCGCCTCCGTCATGGAGCCCAGATCCACGATGATGGGCTCGAACGAGTCCGAGAGACAGATGTTGGCAGTTTTTAGATCCCGGTGGGCCAGCGGCACCGGCTTTGCCTCGTGGATGGCCTTCAGTCCCTCGCAGACGCCCAGGAAGATCTGCAGGATCTGCGCCTCGGGCATGTGGTCCTGTTTCCGCGCCCGTGCCAGCAAGTGATCCGCCAGAGCTCCATGCTTGTAGTAGGGCAGCACGATGTACAAGGTGCTAGTTGTGTTGATCACAATGTCCGCCTGGCCCTTTAGCTCGTAGTCCACCACTCGTATGACGTTCTCTGAGTCGATTTTCCGGCAGTTTTCGATTTCCCGCAGGGCTATGTTCTGGTCGTCGATGCTGTGGCAGGTGATGCGCTTTATCGCATAGCTCCGGCGCGTGGACGCGTTTTCCCCAAGGTCGATGAGACTGAAGCCCCTGTATGGACAGAGATTAGATATTCCGGAGGAGATAGTGCTTTATATTGTAATACAAACCCTTGGGCTAGCCTTTCGCGGATCGTGTAACGGGATCCATTGATGTTCAGCGTCTCCTTCCGGCACAAGCAGCCGCGTTTCATGATCAGCGTCCATCCTATGCTCTGCATTTTGCTTAATTTATGCTACAAATTTTTAAAACTTTAAGCCTAACAACTAGTTTAATTCATGTATAAAACCTAAATAGAAAACAGAAAGCTGAACTGCAAAGTTTATGCGGAGAGGAATTGACAATGTTCAGTGATTGTGAATTGGTTGGCAAATTTTAATTGTTTTGTTAAAGTGTTTGTGATAGTTATGACTCTTTTGCAGTTGTTCTTTTAATAATAGATTTATTTTAATTCTATAACACTTTAATTTACTTTAATTACAAGTCACAAAATGCAAATAAAAGATAATTAAGGCTTAATCAGTAAATTTGCACCGCATAAACGCTGATTCTCTTCAGCTCTTAACAGCTGTTGCAAGAACAGGGTGGTTAGGTTGGCCATGTGGCGGCTAGGGTTGTCACCTCGCCACAATTGTTTCACTGTCGGCGAATAGGCCGAGTTTTAATTCCTGCATTAACTTAATTTAATCAATGGAAACGAGCGAAAATGAAGCTTGGCTGGACCTTGTCGGCATCAGCGCCGATCCGCCGGAGAGACGCGACAAGTGCGAGCAGTGCAAGTGAGTGGTAAAGCGGGGAATCCCTTCCTGAAATCCAAGTTATAATGATGAAATCTTTTGTAGACGACCCGCGGTTGTTTGCTGGTGTCCAGCTTTACCACATCCGCCTGAAGCAGTGGCCTCGCAGATTGTCATTCTGCAGCATCCCGCCGAGGAGAAGCGGTCACTGCGGACGGCACTGATGCTGCAGTTGGGCCTGGCGCCCGGCAAGTGTGTGGTCTACAAGGGCAAACGGTTTCCGAATCACAAAAACCACGCGGAACTGCAGAGAATCTTGGACTCCCCGACAACCTTGCTGCTTTATCCCAGCCGGGACTCGGTGCCCTTGGAGGAAGTGGATCGAAGTGCCGGTCCCTACACCTTGGTCCTCATAGACGGCACCTGGCCGCAGGCCAAGGCCATCTACGCCAGTAGCCCCGCCCTACACAGCCTGCGTCAGGTGAAACTCATCGCCGTGGGCATCAGCGACTACATTATCCGCACTCAGCCCACGGAGGGCTGCCTGAGCACCCTGGAAACCGCCGCCCAGTGCCTAGCTGTGCTCGAGTCCCGGCCAGAGCTGAGGCAATCACTGGTGCGACCCCTGCACACGCTCTGCAAGTACCAACTGGACAATGGGGCCGTGGAACACCAGTCCAAGGAGTTCCTGTTGAAGAACAACCAGTACCCCAAGCCCATTGGCAAGCGGCTGAGCCGCCTGCTCAATTATAGCAACACCGTGTGCGGCGGAGGCAACGACACGTGATAGTTGGACCAAGAATACACACGGACGGAGTAGTGGGTGCAAGCTCTGTGCATAGCAATATTTAATTATACTTGTAATTTTCTACCGAAATGGTTAATAGTTGTGCTTTGTTGGAGTTCTTAGACGGTGGGCTTGTTCCTGGCATCCGTGAGGGCTCTGACGAAGACACACTTGACGATGGCATAGCCCCGTTCGCAAGCATTCAATTCTTCCTCTGGATATACAAGTTAAAAGATTTTGTAATGCAATTCCGGATCTCTATTACTGCTACTTACTGCCTTCGTCCTCGCAAACCTGAATGGAGTCACCGGTGGCTGGCCACACGTACTTGCGCACCAGATCCTTGTTCAGCTTGTAGTCCTTCATCAAACCCGACTTTTCAAAGAAGCAGTTGAAATAGCACTGTCCGAAATGCGTGAGAATGGTAATAGAAAAGAAGTGAAACAAAACCCACTTACCATGCTGGTTTTATCCTTGTCGTCCGGCAGCTCACCTGTGATATTAAACTGCAGGACATTGGCTGAAAGGATTTTAGGTTTAGGTTTCCGACACAACCATTAATCTGCCCGCCCAAACTCACGCATTGGAGTTATAAAACTGGCATTGCAGTTGCGATTGACCTCATCGAAATCTACGTAATCGGCTTCCCTGGGAGCTGGTGTGGTGGTGGATATATCATCCACATCACCATCGAAGCTATCGTAGTTTATAATGAATACATCGCCATTATCCTTGGCATGATCCTGCAGAGCCTTAACCCAATACAGATTCAGACTCAACAGAGCAAAGCTGAACCAGAACTTGAACAAAGCGGAAAACATTTTAAACTGAGTGTCTTTTGGTTTTCAGTTGGCCCCCTTTTATAGGAAAGTTAAAAATGTATAACAAATAATCATGCCATGCAAACAAATGATCATGCCATGCAAATTATCGGGCATTATTTCCGGGAATTCGAATGTTTGAATACACTTTGCACAAAGGGAACCCCTAATCACTCTAGTGTTTCCCCAATTAAAGATCATTTTGTCTGAATAACCAGAATATTGAATAACCCGTGACTTACCATACGGAATCAAATTCTCATCCGCACAGGCCACTCGAGCCGTGTAGAACATGGCGTGCATTTCCTTCTGCACTTCCGGATCGTCGGGCACCACCTCATCCTGGGTGGCCACTAGGATCAGACAGAGCACAGGAATTAGGAATATAGCACGAAACATTTCAGAGACTGACTGGTGAGTGGCATTTCGGCCGCTCCAATATATATACCACCGATCGATCCACGATCTTGTGCTAAACGTGACCAAATTAGGTAGCTCGTTAGACAATTAAACTAAATAGTTGCACTTTAATCGAACAATAAATACATGCAATATACGCGTATACAGAAGTACAGGCCATCCGTTCATCGGTGCGATTGCAAAGTGAACGAGAAACGAAATTTACATTGGTCAATGGGTCACAAGAATTATATAGTTTAAATACAAGTATGTAGTTTAGTTTAGGAGCCCACGAACATTTAACACAATTTACATATTCAATGGGTCTAAACATCAATTACGTGGTTAAAGTGTAGTTTTTTTTAAATAATGTTCATTACGAACTTTAAGCCTACAGTCGAACTTCAAACACTCGGCGGTAAAGGTGAGAAATAAACTTTATATTATATTTATATCCAAAGAGCTTGTTCTAAAAAGCAGGTATATCTATTTTCTTAGATTTTTCTAAGTTTTTGTTGATTAAATGCCAAGATTTTATCTTCTACTTTAAAGTATTTTGGAGTTTGAGCTATAGAAGTTCGACTGTATCTTTAGTGGGTCACTGTAGTTAGTTAGTTTAAGAGTACTTTGTTGGTTATTAACTTATCGATAGCATTATTGGAGATTGCGCAACGCGGTGTGCCTAGAGTGAGAAGCCTTCGGTTGGTTTTGGATCGGATTAGATTGTATTAGATTGGCCAAGGGAATATAGAAAGACATAGTTTTGGATCTGAGCTGAGAAAGACATAGTTTTGAATCTGAGCTGAGAGGGGCCTTAAGTGTAATTTCGCTTAATTTTCGCTTGGATTCTTGATTAAATTACTCTATGCAACGTCCACGTCGCATCCACGCGTCAAACCTTGGCGCCCCAGGCCCTCTTCAGCAGGTAGGCGCCCTTCTCCGCAATCATGACGGCGGGAGCGTGCGTATTGCCCGCTGTCACCTTGGGCATGATGCTGGTGTCCATGACGCGCAGTCCACGGATGCCGTGGACTCTCAGCTCGTGGTTGACCACCGCCATGGGATCGTGGCTGGGTCCCATTTTGCAGGAGCCCGCCTGGTGGTTCTCCGGACCCGTGTTCTGCCGCACGGCGCACTCCCAGTAGGCATCGCTACCGAAGGCCGGTGCCTCGCATCCCTTGACCACCGTCTTGTCCAGCCGCATGCCATACTGCTTCAGCGGCGTCGTCTGGGACAGTCGAATGGCGAACTTGATGCCCTCCACCAGGGTCTTCACGTCCCGCTCATCGGTCAGGTAGTTGGCGAAGATGCGAGGCGGATCCAGGGGATCGGCTGAACGCAGAGCGATGTATCCCCGAGAACGGGGATTGAGAACGGCCGGGAATATCTGGATGGCCCGGGAGTTGTTCGAAAGCAGCTCGCCCACCTGTCCTGTGCGGGCACAGCTGGCCAGGTAGCCACCGAAGTACAGCTGGAGGTCGGGCAAATCCGGCCTGTCGGCCCAACGGGTGGCCAATTTGCCGGTGACATCCGAAATGCCAGTGCCAGACATCAGGCCATCCCGGAACAGCAAGTACTCCATGGCCGTGGCCCAGTTAAGGGGCGCCGTGTCCGCGTCATCGATAAAGAAGTTAGTGAAGTAGGCCACATGGTTATGGAGGTTCTTGCCCACACCTGGGAGATGATGAACCGGCCGCACATTCACCTGCTGGAGCTCATCCTTGGGACCCACACCGCTCAGGAGCAGAATCTGCGGCGAGTTCACAGCTCCAGCACTCAGCACCACCTCCTTCTTGACCAAAATCTTGCGCATGCTGCCGAACTGGTCGCTCACCTCCACGCCCAGCACATTCTTGGTGTGCGGATGGATGAGGATCTTGGTCACCGTGGTGTTTAGCAGGATATGCAGATTGTTGCGCATGCGTGCCGGACGCAGGAAAGCCCTGGCCGAGCTATATCTGATGCCATTGCGGGCCGTCATCTGGGCAATCATGAATCCTGTGGAGTTCTGACCATTGAGATCCTGGACAGAGAAGCCCAGTTCCTCGCCGGCCTTGAGAATAGCATAGGACAGGGGTGGATTGTAGGGGAACTTGCCCACTGGCAACAGGCCACCCTTGGCATGATATTCCGTGCCCACGGCATCCAATTCCAGGTTATCCTCCGACTTCTTGAAGAACGGCAGCACATCATTGTAGGCCCAGCCTGGATTACCCTGGGCTGCCCAATCGTCGTAGTCCTCGCGGTTGCCGCGGATATACATCATGCCGTTCATCACCGAAGTTCCGCCCAGGACCTTGCCGCGTGGCCAGTAGCAACGCTGCTCCATCGAGGACAGGCAGGCCATTCGCTCTGGCTCCGTGTTGTAGCGATAGTCAATGTCGCTGCCGATAAAGTTAAGGAACATGGAGGGAATCTGGGCACCCACGGGTTCATCGCCACCTGAAAGATGAATAGCGTTAAATGTTAATGAATATAAAAATAAATAATAAAGATAATATGAACTCAATATTTAATTATATTTAAGTCTCGGTGTTGATTATTTACTGTAATACAAATATTTATTATAAAAAGAATAAGATAAACCGCTTAACTTGGCTTTAAACTCAAAAGAATAATTTAAAGTTAAGTGAAAAATTGATTTTAGGTAATTTATTTATTTAACGGATGTTTAAAACCCACAAGATACCTCCAATAACTGGTCGTGAGTCTTGATAAATAGGTCTAAACTGGCCATTAAGATACCATTTAAGCCAACTCCGGCCCAACCTTCAGCGCTTGGGTGGGCTTGGACTTCAATTAGAGTTTGGGCCATCCGAGGCACGCTTTCGCTTAACCCAGGCTAATCTATTGTAATTAGTGGGTATATATATTGGCTCAATCAGCGTTCTAGAATTTCCGTTGAGCTCGGGCCCACGACTCAAGTTAATTAAATCAATTCAAGCGGCATCTTTGATTGCTGCTAACCATAGCGTGGGAGCCAACAATTTCACTGCAAAAATCCTGACTAATAATTTAAGTTGGTATTTCAACAAAGGAAACTTAAACTTAAACAGCCAAAAATTTAAGAAAGAGAAAAAAATACCGGCTCTGATTCATTGAATACAATCGTTATATATGTTTCCCATATGGTTTATAACTTGTTCTGAGACCAAAACCAACATACGTATGTGTCGCGCAAATAAAAACAAATGCGTTTGGTGTTTACGCCGAGAATTAAAAGAAAGCAATTAGCATCCATCTGAAATGCATTCTAATTAGCTTGGAATACAGGCTGAGGTGAGACTAAACAAAGTCGGACGTCTTCGCTTGAATATCGATTTCATAAATCACTCGTTGGCAAAAAGAAATTCGCATTGAATCAACTTTATGACTACATTTTGGGTTTATTAAAAATTAATAAAAGATAACCTAGTATAAGAATGTAGTTGAAAGTTGCCAAGTTAAGCTAGGGCATAAACTGGAGGCATTGACCAGAAATAAAGGTCATTCCTGGGTTCAGTTTAATGTTTTAGTTGGAAAAGTAAGGAACCTTGAATTATAATCCCAATTTTATCAGTTCAAATCTAGAATATAGAACACGCGCCAGTGGCAAACTGAAGAGATTAACCCAAGGCGAAAGTCATTTAAGAGTTCAGTGTACCAGGCACCAGGTTTACTTCTTTAATCAAACAATAAAAGTGAAATAATTATACTGCCAAGCTTAAAATAAAACCTTATTAAAACTCCTAAGTCTCGATTGCATAAGCAATTTTGTACTTGCCAAATTAATTATTTCATTTAAGAGTGACATATGATTTGTTATGCCATAAAGTATAAATTAGAATATGATTTAAATTTAGATTCTGATTTGGACCACGTTCAAGGAGTACGATGAAGACATTAACCTCAGACGAGGGTCAGTGTACCAGGCACCGGGTTGGCTTCTTAGCTTTTTTTTCCGGCATGCTTTTGGCATTGACTAAATTTGACGAGCTGCATGTCTAATGTCAAGCCAGTCCGCATTATGATGGAAACAAAAGCCACTTAAGCCGGGAGTTATCTGCTCATACGGCTATATCAGCATGGATAATAAGCCAGGTAATAATGGCCACGGCTAATGGCACTCCAGCCGCAGGCATTGTTGTATAATTAACGCCGACGCATTGACAACTTCGAGTGTGCTTTGGTCTCGTGTAATTAGTGTAATTAGTGACGAGGCGTAAAAATTGTCGCTATAAGCAATTACTTTGCGCAAAAATTGAAAACTACCGATGAGGGAGACCCAGAAAGTAAGCCAAGCGGAGCTGAGAATGCTGATGGGGCAGTTTTAATGGAGCCATTAGAATGCTTTCCCAGGCATTAAAGACAGATGGAGTGATTTTCCACACTTTTAAGGTGTTTTTAGTAAGACATTAGTTGAAAAAGGGTAATCAAATAATGATTAATGGGGGATATAGTGAGATATCTCAATTTTTCATGGGTAAATAATATTAATGACATTTGAAAAACAAGAAAGGAAGCTAACTTCGGCACGCCGAAGTTTGTATACCCTTGCAGATATTATTTCATTACATTTTACCTATACTTATTATGTTTACAGTTTGACAGTTACAGTTTTACATTCACACCTTTACATTTTCCCTACATCTACCGATCGTTTATATGGCAGCTATATGATATAGTTGTCCGATTTTTTTGAAATTTATACCAAAATTCTAGAATAATAAAATAAGCTTATATCCCGGAGTAGATGAAAATACGTTGAAAAACAACGAATCTATAATTTTTATACCCTTGCAGGGTATTATAATTTCAGTCAGAAGTTTGCAACGCAGTGAAGGAGACGTTTCCGACCCTATAAAGTATATATATTCTTGATCAGCATCAACAGCCGAGTCGATCTAGCCATGTCCGTCTGTCCGTCTGTCCGTCTGTCCGTCTGTCCACCTGTCCGTTTCTACGCAAACTAGTCCCTCAGTTTAAAAGCTATCTGAATGAAACTTTGCATATAGTCTTCTATATGCTCTCACTGCTATATATGTCGGAACGGGCCGGATCGGAGGACTATATCATATAGCTGCCATACAAATGTTCGATATATTTTTAGAAAAAAAAATTATAACTTTGCTGTTTTTCAACATTTTTGCACCATTTTTTAGATATGGCCACTCTATATTATTATAGAATTTTGGTAAAAATTTTATGAAAATCGGACGAATATATGATATAGCTGCCATAGGAACGATCGAGAAATAAATAGGAAAAAAATTATAACTTCGTTGTTTTTCAACGTATTTTCATCTACTTTAAGTTATAAGCTTTTTTTATTATTCTAGAATTTTGGTATAAATTTTATAAAAATCGGACAACTATATCATATAGCTGCCATAGAAGCGATCGGCAAATGTATAAAATATGTAAAGCTGGGAATGTAAAACTGTAACTGTCAAACTGTAAACATAATAAGTATAGGTAAAATGTAATGAAACTCTGTTTTGTGAGTGTTTTCAGCATTTAAATCTATAATATAAACATCGAAACCAATCTGCAAGGGTATAAAAACTTCGGCGTGCCGAAGTTAGCTTCCTTTCTTGTTTTTCTATTAATTTCCCGATCGTTCCTATGGCAGCTATATGATATAGTCGTCCGATTTTCATAAAATTTTTACCAAAATTCTGAAATAATATAAAATTGACATATCTGAAAAATGGTGCAAAAATGTTGAAAAACAGCAAAGTTATAATTTTTTTTCTAGAAATATATCGAACATTTGTACGGCAGCTATATGATATAGTCGTCCGATCCGGCCCGTTCCGACATATATAGCAGTGAGAGCATATAGAAGACTATATTCAAAGTTTCATTTAGATAGCTTTAAAACTGAGGGACTAGTTTGCGTAGAAACGGACAGACGGACGGACAGACGGACAGACGGACAGACGGACAGACGGACATGGCTAGATCGACTCGGCTGTTGATGCTGATCAAGAATATATATACTTTATAGGGTCGGAAACGTCTCCTTCACTGCGTTGCAAACTTCTGACTGAAATTATAATACCCTGCAAGGGTATAATAAGATATGTAGATACTTCAATTTATTAGAGAACAATTTAATAGAGAATAAATTAATTTTGAAGAGTTATTTGTCATCACTGAACATTCAGCTATCTGTCAGTTCTTGAAAATATTATTATTTACAGATCATACTTTTAAAATATTTATTACCAAAAGCACTTAACTTTAAACGAATGGATTTTATTAAACAAATACAATTATTATTTGCAAAAAATATATATTTTAATAAATATAAATTACCTCGAAACCCATGTTTGCAAGCGTTCAGACTGTAAAATTAAAAATTATGCAGTGCTAAAAAGCCTCTTAAGCGGAATTTTGCCGCATATTTGAGCTTAATTAAGCCAAAGTGAATGTACTGTAGCAGCACAAAGCTGAATATAATAATGTACTAACTCAGAGATTCACGTGTGGTGCTGCCTGCGCCTCGTAATTCATTCATAAAAAAAGGCGGTGATCAACAACACACTTATTGAGTGCAAAAAATAAAGTCAAGCGGAACGACGCCACCACCACCGCCAGAGGCATTGTAACAACTCCAAACTAAGGCAAATCCTATTCAGGGAAGAGCCATTTGCATGGACTGGAGATTGCCTCTGGCGGTGGCGGCTCGTTTAGTTTACATAATGCTCGTGGCAGTTGCGGTTGCTTCTTTGCCACAGAGTTGCCCAAGTGGCATTAGCGCTTCAGTTGTGTGTTGCCGCTGTTAGGCTTCAATTACTTCTAAACAAATGCCACATGACGTGCCTCTAATTGCCGTGAGCCGCGTGAAACGCTGGCAACATGTTGCTGTGCTGCCCCACCATCACTTACCCGCTTCGATCAGCAACACCTTCCACTGGGGCACCTCGGAGAGTCGCGAGGCGACCACAGATCCCGCAGAGCCGCCGCCAATGACAATGAAATCGTATTCGTAATCCGGCTCCGATCGAAACTGCAATATATAAATATATAGAAATAAACTAAAGCTTACAGTTCAACGATAAACAATCGACACTTACCCGAGTGCTGGCCCGTCCGCAGGGATCCTCCAGATCGCACTGTGAGCGTATGAAGACCTCCAGCAGGCCCATGAACAGCATGAAGGCGCTGCCGCCGCAGGTGGAGGCGAGGGTGGGTCCAGTGGGCACGCCCACCAGGCAATCGCAGGATGAGGAGCTGGCGGACATGTTAACGGACTAAAAAGCGAAAGGAAAACCAAAGATTTAGAAGAACTTGAAATTTTGATTGGCAAACAAAAGACTTAGGACACAAACTTGAAAGCTCGAATTACAAGAAAAATATGTTAAAAATAAGTTTAAACTGAAAGCTAAAAGAAACTAATTATTTATTTTGTATAATAAGTACAGAAGGGAAAATAAAGTAAGTAATCCTATAATTAGTAAGTAATTTTTCTAATTGGAAATGTAAGAATACTATAATATTTTTAGTAGACAATTAAAAGACAATTAAACACACGAAGATATACTTAATTTTTCAATCTTTTTATAATGTTTTTAATTATCTACTTCAACGTTTAATACTTTTTTTTTTCATTTTCAGTTGATTAAACACAAAGCCGTAGGGCAAAGTCATACAATTTTGAAAACCACATCTTGAACTTCGGCTTAACCTTGCCAACTGAGACAAAGACTAAAAATTATCAAAAGTAATGCTCCAGCAAGAGCCCTGCAATTAATAAGAGTACCCACCGAGACAATGGGCGTCGGCGTCGTTGTCGTTGCACACCGAAAGGCGGCTAAGGCAAAGCCCAAAATGAAATTGAAATCAAAAAAAGATACTTTTTATATCTTGGCCATTTGGCAAACAAACGGCAACTGCCGCCAGCATTGGCAATTACCGAAAGGCTAAGCAGCCAGACAGACAGAAGTCATAGCTCATCATCCGAGCTTGGCTTTTGTTTGGCCGGCTGCTGCTGCTGCTTCCTCGGCTTCTGCTGCATAGTTTCACATGACCTTAGCCCCAAGCGGCCAAAAATCTCTGACTGGCTTCTCTTTTTCTTTCCTATTTTGAAATTTCGAAATGGTCCTCTTGGTCTGCGCCTAAAACAGAAGCAATGAGGCTGGAATTACGGTAGCCCACGAAGCTTGAGTTGAGTAATGTGCAATATAATTATGTCATTTGCCTTGTTGGTGGATAATTGATGACCGCTGGGGGTGAGCAGAGTTACTTAACTCTGGACGGCATCAAAATAATATAAATATGCCTTTTTCTGATATAAGTTTAGGTATTAAAGAAACCTACTTAGGATATAATATAAATTGTTTTATACTGATGAAAAAGCAAACCAAAACGGTCACTAAATAATTATTGATTATTATGATCTTGAATAATAAGAAAAGGATATTCTATAGTGTTTAAAAAAGTCAAGTTTTTCTTATGCTAGTGACTGGTTTCTGTTCTTTTTTGACCATCAATGCAGATTATTTTTTTCCTGTAAAGTAACTATGATTACGAAGCGAAGCTAATCTATTGCTAGCACCTTTTAAGTGACTGAAAAAAATCTTAATTGTTGCCTCTAACTTTGCTCTTCACACTCCTTTCTGGGCGATCCCCGAAATCAGTGCATTTTTGGAAGATGCTGACAACGCTTTTGACCTCAATTAACTGGAACAGCTTGAAGCAATCAAATTGCAATTTGTATCCCAGCCAAAAACAGAAACTGAAAACCAAAAAAACCGAAAAACCAAAAAACAAAAGTGTAATTGAAACTGAATCCCAAAGCCGAAACCGAAACAAAAACCGAAAGTGAAACAAGAGAATCACCTAAGCGGAGATCGAGAAGACTGAGCAATTGCTACAGTTCGTCTGTTTTTTTTTTGGGTGCCACAATGGGGCTCGCATCTGACATTTGGAACACGATTTTTCATTCATTTCAATTGCATTTTGGTGTCTTTCGCTTTTAAAGTTGAAGGATGCCACGAAAGTGAAGCGGAGCGGAGTCAAAGCCAAGCCGAAGAACATACGCAGCTCACGCGAGCGTGGAAAATCAAAAGAGAGGCAGTTTGTTGTTGACCTCGCGGCCAGTTTTCCAATAAAAAAAAAATAAACAAAAACAATTGCCGAGAAAAACGCGTGCAAAAGTCGTGCAGCGAGCAGAAAATTAAAAGTTGTTCAGGACAACTTTTGTTGTTGAGCCAACAAAGTTTGGTTCAATTCTGCGTGCAGACTTTTATGGTAATTGGTGGGAAAGTCCAGGGGGATATGAGTATAGGGAATGGGAGGGAAAACTGTACCTTATTTGTTATTATATATAATAAATATGTTTTAATATATTTAATTGGTTAAAATGTAAATTTGTAAGGACAAATAGAAAAAATATCCAAATACTAATCCACTTCAAAGTTGGATTTTGGTGTTTGAACTTAATGATTCTAATTTTCTTAGCCATTTGATCTTTGAATTAAATATATGGAAGCCTGATCTACAAACCCCTTTGTATATTTTAGCAAAAATGTATTGCATAAATAAATGAACCAATGACATAATTATACGCATAATAATTACCTGACACGGTGAGAATAAAATGAAAATTATTCAATTAATTAACGACAATGTTCGCTGTTATCATCTGATTATTCAAACTTCCTGCGTTACTTATCCAACAATTTGATCTGTGGCGCTGTCATAATTACAACTTGTCGTTTTTTTGTATTAACAACATTATCGGCTGAGAAGCACAGTGCATAATATCTTGTGCACCGAAGCGATCCGATTAAAACCAACTCGGGTTGCAGTTGTCTTCTTGTGGGTTTTGCATTGTACTCGCAACGATAACTTCATTGATATTGCTTGGCATTGTCTTCATTGCTGCGTTGCATTTGAAGGTTTCTTTGAGCTGTCAGTCAGCCAACCAGTCAGTCAGTCAGTCAGTTAGTCAGTCAGTCAATCAGACAGTCAGACAGTCAGACAGTCGGTTAGTCAGTTGGACAAACCCGTGCCCAATGGCGTGAACAATACCGCAGATAGAGGCTTGCTTTTGGGCCTTGTTATTTTGTTATCTTCTGCTGCTGCTGCTGCTGCTTCTGCCATATGGTTAGGCTTGGTTTTTTCGGGTGCTTATTAATGTGGGAACCGCGCATTTATTAGAATAATAACCATAAAGTAATGCAATTTATGCGTGCCAGCTGAAGTCATGTGATTTTGAGTGAGTTGTGTAAGGTCTCAGCCTATGGATGGGGTGGGATCTGATCTGAAGACCCCTTCTGTCTGTCAGCTTAACTTTTTTGCCTAATTAATATAACTTAAAAACCAGATATCTCATTAAGAAAATAATTAGAGAAAATGCCAAAACTTTCACGAGGCTTTCAAAGAATGTCATTTGCCGTCTTAATTGATCGATCGATTTACTATTTGAAAGTCAATAAAAAACTCACATAATTTCCAGAAATTTCACATCGATTTTAAGTTAATTTGAGTCAGCAATTTCCGACTTCCCCCGAGCTGGTTAAAAACTGACAAAGCAAGCGACTAAAAACTATAACAAATTTAATGCTCAACACATTGCGGCAAATTGAAGTCATTAATTTGGCCGAATGGACCTCCAACTATGAACGCCAACGGGTTTGGTTTGTGATGTTTTGCGGTTTTATTTCTCATTTTATCAAAATCAAGAGCTAACGGTAAATGCGTTAAAGCAAACATACGTAGTTGGTAGGCAAAACATAGAGAGATGCCGAAAAATAAATACCAACGATAAAGTTTTTCACGTTCGGGCGTAAAATTGACAAGCGGCACCAAGCTGGCAAGGTGTATGAATAATTTTCAAAGAAAATCCATGCTAAGCGAAGCAGAAAGTAAGGTAAATACACACGAAAAATAAACTTATAAGTACCGGTAATAGGTCATAAATTTAATGTAATTTTTTAAGGGATGCTGTTGATCTTAGTTTGAGGATTTATTTACCGATTTATTACCCAAAATGCTTACATATTTCATTTCTAATATTACTTAATATTGTTCAATATATGCATACCTTTCTTCCCGTGTAGATATATTGTAAATGTTCATAAATAAAGCCGGACACGCATGGGGGAATCTGGGTCCGGGATCGGGTTCAGGATTTGGACAAGATCGAGGCCATAAATTAACACCAGCACACATTATGGCCTGGAGAGGATAACGAGCAGCCGGCAAGGTAAATATTGCATCCCCCGGATCCTCCATCGGTGGTATTACGCAGCCATCTCTCGCAGCACTGGCCATTAGAAATTGGCCAAGAAATCAGCGAGTGTGGCAAAATAAAGCAACTGGAACTGGGGCTAAAACGGACAGCCTGGAAACTGCAAACAGCGAACAGCAAACAGCAACCTGCAACCTGCAACCTGCAACAGCAATGGCAACTTACAACTTACAACTGGCAACTGGCGGCAATTGCATTCGCAACCAAACTGGAGGAAACTGCCGCGCAATGTCTGGCCAACTTGGCCAATGTCTGACGCGAAGTCTGAGTGGCCCGTTGTTGTTGTTGCCAGTTTCTGGCACTGTTGCCGGTCTCATGGCTCTTTGGCCACCTCTTGACTTCCTATTTTCACTTTCATTCGTCATGCGCGTGGCGGCGGCAAGTAGAAATGCAACAACGTGCCTTGGGTCGAGTCTGTAAGACCACTTTGGTCCTATACCCTAGCAAAAGGGCCATATCGAAATGTTAAGGTTTTGGATCAAAGAGGGGTTTTAATATATTATTTCCTTCTAGAGTTGAATTAGATAAAATATAATTTCATGAGATTCTAATGTCAATGTTTAGTCACACTTAAACACTCTTGTTGTTTTGAGCACATTAAACTAACTAACTAGTTTAAACCACTTATGTTAGAATTTATAATATAATTTGTAGTCTATTGTTTGCCTAGTTAGTAAGTTATTTGTGCTTAAAATAAATTGGTATAATACATTTAAAACAATTGACTTTGTTTGGAAATAGAATGCATCATCAGCCCAAAGCTATTATAATAATTTAATGATTGTTAGATTGGAATTCTGTTTATTCTGTTGATTTTAATGAATGTATTTTATCCTGTTATAACATACTTATGAATTGAAGTGTACCTTGAAAGTGGTTATTAACCTTGACCATCAGTTGTTTAAGTACATAATATGTGTATACATTTTAGTTTTCCTTATTCCTTTGCTTCCTTTTCGATCAAAGTTGCACGTTAAGAATAGAATTTTTTAACTCTCTAGATTTGCGAGCTGGAGTTTCCAGGTTCAATACACCACTTATAATTTACAATATTTAAAAAATCCGAAATGTTTACAAATATTTAACCAAAGAATCCACAATTTTCATAGTTTAGGGTACCTAAAACTTCGGTCTGGAAAAACTAGCCTTCCCTATCTAATTTTTCCCCCTGTTTCTTGTTACTTTTGCGTACTTCACGATGGATTTCTTTGCCCCCTTCCTCGCATCCCAGGCAGTGTCAACGCGCCATCAACAATGTGCGAATGTTTTGTGTGAGAATTCGCAAGGCAACAAGTTGCTGTTGCTGATGTTGCTGGGCTTCACTCTTGTCATGCTTCATCACGTAATTGTTAAATGTTAGTAGGCAATATTTAGTTAATGCAATTCTGCTGACGCCGGTCAGGTTAACGGCAATAAAAGAGAAGCTGGGCATTAGTTGGATAACTGCTTAGAGATTCTTCTAGAGTTCTACAGCTTCCAGGGATTTCCAAAGATTTAACAAACAATCGCTCGTCAATATTGATAAAAATCTGTAAAGCCGCGCAGTGGATAACAATAAAATCGAAACTCGTGTACATCTCGCTGATTGGTAATTGCACTTTTATTTGTTTTTCAGTTGTTAATTTTTCCAGAGAATTGCAAAGTATAATTTATTGAGACGCGGCATTGACCGGCACGACTAACAATGGTGATTTTTTGTTGTTTGTACCAGAAACAGAAACGGAAATACCGCACAAAAACTTATAGATTTTCATTTTCGAGGAAAACTGAAAAGCAGTTTTACATAATTTATTTAAATTTTGGTTTTTTTTCGGTTGCCTGGGCTATTGTTGCACGAACTGCGACGTGATTGAATATTTACAACATTTTGTTGCATTTCACTGGGCAAAATGTTGCAGCACCGCATGTAATACCCTTGGCGTTGCCAATTACGTGGCACTCGTACTCGGTACGGAGTACAGAGTACCTCGTACTTCAGGCTGCCACACAATTAGGCTCCGAGTGAAATTCTGCAATTGCGCGGCGCATCATTCCGGCGATTGTCAAAGAGCCCAGATGATCGCAGTGCCTTGATTGATCGCTGGTTACGTGCTGCTGGATAAGGCAAAAAGCAGCAGCAGCAGCAGCAGCATCCACATCTCTTGGTGGCCCCGGAGGCGGATGCAAAAAAAAAAAAAAAAGAGAAAAAATGTGGAAAAAAGCAGTGAAAAACTGAGGTGGGCAGCTCAGCATCGAACAACGTTGTTCAGGAGCTGCCTGTCAACTGGGTTGCCATTTCGTGAGTTCGGTATTCGGTCTTTGGCTTTGTGGCCCGCAGACAGTAACAACACTTTTAGTTTCATTGCTAAATGAGTGAATTTGTTAACAGGCCAGAGCCGTAATTGATGTCTTGCCGGCATTTCTCACGCTTGTCGCTGCTAGGATAACATTTTCGGGGACGCCCAGAGGCCGGCCGATTGTCGATAGTGGGCTCAATGAGAGCGTTGGGTAATCTAGTGATTTCTAATAAGGTAGGAAACTCTTGTAGCTGCTACCCGAATTATTATAAATTTGTATATTTTTATTTTCTCATTCAGGAAATGAGAAATTATTGGTACCAGTTATTTCAGGGTTAAATAAACGATTGTTTAGGTCATTTTAACTTCCAAATTCCAACTTTTGAATTCCTTTTATTTATAATAATAACCTTGTTTAATATAGAGAAGTATTTTTATCAAGGTTTAAACTTAATTCGACTCTCTATTATAATAAATAATTATCTAAAATCTTAATAAATAGTTAAACAAACTAGCTAAACTATTAACTTGTAATTTCACACAGAGAAATATATGTTTTCTTTCAGTCAAAAACCAATTTTAATTTTTAGATTCAGTCAGAAAACAAAGCCAAGTATACAAAAAGAAAATAAGCACAATAAGATTACTACAAGAAACCTCAGAAGTTCTCCCCATTCTTTTGGTTATATCAAAGTATTAACCCAATTTTTCTTTTTGTGCATCTTCAATTATTTCACGGAAAAACTATGCTAATCCCGCTTCTTGGGAAAATTCCCCGAAAACCATTCAAAATTTGTCCCATTTGGAGATTTTGTCGGCTCACGCTCGTGGCTGCTTTTGGCCGGGCCGGGATTGGCAGTGTGCCATAACGAATTGTAAACAAATAAGGCCGAGCCAAAGACCATTTAAATGGCAAATGGCAGAGACTTTGCTACAGAAAGAGGGGGCTACGTGCTGCAGATCGTTTCAATGCGCAGCGGATTGAATGAACGAATGCCAAAAAGCCCAGAGAGAAAAAAGGGAGCAGACAATCGCTGGGCAAACAAACAACATATAACAGACAACAGGCAGCAAAAGTCAATCGATGCCTCTGAAGAGGAGTAACAAAAGCCAGGCCAAAGGCTTTTGCCTTTGCAAACACTGAACGGTTTTTCGAAGTTTCTCTCACTTTTTTTTTTTGTTTTTTGCTGTAGCTGTTGCTGTTTTCGGGCTGCCCAACAAAATGTTGGCAGCAGATAAAGCGCCGACAGCACGCTCCCAAAACATGGAGACACACAAATTTTTATCTGCCGCTGACATTTGAACATGACTTTAAAAAATTCACGGGACTCGTATGTGCAAACAGTTTTTGTGGTGTACTTTTTTTTTAGACTTTTGGCCAGAAAAGAAAGCTAAGCGTGGGTGTCATTCGGTCAAAGCACTCGTCCCATGTTCACTTAATTCCATTGCCCCCTAGACAGCGATACCATTATACCTTTATGTGGCCTCAATAAAATTTTGATGGATCATCATTCGACGCCGCCCTCTATAATGTGCTCTCGGCAGTAAAAAGAAGTCCAGAAAGCAAACAAGCGAAATTAAAGGCCTTAAAATGAGCATCGCCAGGCGATATGCAAATCAAGATCGAACTCTTTTTTTTAATGAGTTCACCCAAAAAAATATATATGAGCACACTTAATTTGGAATTATTTTTGATTTGCTGTATTGTTTGTTTGATTTTGCAATAACAAATTTTATTTAGCATGAAGCTGTATGTGAATATATTGGTACAATTATTTTTTTTGGGAATATGGGAACCACTTTCTATTGCAATGATTTGGTGGCTTGTTTATATTTATATTTCCATATTATATTAGTAATACACGCCAAGGAAATTTGTTAAAATAAATAATAATTAGTGGTTTGAAATGCAAATTTCTTAGAGTAATTTGATATGATTAGTCATATTTTTGGGATTTTTTTTAAAGTTTTTTATGCCACCGAAATTTGTTTATTCAGGTAATCAATCATTGCATTAAAGGAAGCATTTCTATAAGTAGAATTCTCTATTAGTTTAAATACTTAAATATTACAAATCCCTTTTTAAATTCTAACACAGTAATTCACAGTATTATTGACTAATATATCTTTGACTGAGAGCAAACATTTCTGTCATTAGAAATCCCCAAATTTTTCTGTAAATAAATATTAGTAATCTTATGGGGAATTCTATCACAGTTATGAGTAATAATTTTAATCACTACCAAAGAAGCCAAAAGAAATTCGACCACAAGTGATGATCATTTCCTGTTATATTATTTCTGATTATGAATGATATTTCGGCTGTGAATACACAACTAATTGTCAAAACAAACTTGTTATTTTATTTCATAATGTAAGCTTGTTAGCCAGATAATTTGGAAAAGAAAATCAAGCACGAAACGGATATTCCCATTCAGTTGGAATCCAAAGACCAAATGTACTCACCATAAACATTAAGCCATAAGTAGTTGATCTCTTTCAATACCACAAGTTTTCGTCGAAACGAGACGAGGTGGCGGTGGAATCGAGGGAGAAACCGGGTTAATTTCCTATTACTGTAATGGACGTTTAATGAACTGGCAGGCGCATTCGTCGTGAAACACCTCAATACGAGGCGGTGTGGTAGACTTTTTCATTCGTATAATACACCGTGTAATTGAGCACAAAATCGAGCAGATTAGTGGTCAAATGGCAGACAATGGGTGACCGTTTTGATGTGTGTGGAAAAAGAAATAGAAACCAGTAACTTGGGCTAGAAACGTGTCCAGATCACAAATCGTGAGATACTCGTGCAAAAAACCACAAAGAAAACAAACAAAACAAAACAAATCGAATTGCAAAAAAAGTGCAGCACAATTTATCGCCATGAGCCATCAGAAGACCTAACAAAGTTCCGTTTCTCGGGCCTTATGACAATGGCAAATTTCAAACTCCCAAAACCAAAAAAGCTGGCCAAATCCGTTGAGCTTCCTCAATGCCAAAAACGGACATTGCGGATTTTTCGGTTGTGAAAAATCGGCAAACCGAATAGCCCGAAAAAATAAGAGAAATAACAGCGATTGCATCAACTTACGATTGTTGGGTCCAGCGGTTGGGTGTCTGGTTTCCTTTTATGCTTTAAATATTGAATTAATTGTTTATTCCTTATCGAAAATGCCTCGAGGCACAAAAATTGCTCAACGGCCCGAAGATGTTAGAAAAACTTGCGGGCGATTAAGTTAACTCGTTTATTTCTTAAGCAGCTTTTTATTGAAAACACACAAATGCACTCACAATGGTTTAAGTCACTGCCTTCTAGGGTTTTTAGTCACCCTCTTGAGCACTTTTGTATTTAGGTGGCTTTTCTTTGATTTATTTTTTTGGTCTTTTAGCTAGTTCGAACTGCGCGCAGACGCAGAGCGTTACCGACTCAGCTTCTGGCCGGCAAGCGTCAGGCTTTTTAAGCGGCCCAAAGCTCGAACTTGACGAAAGACAGCTTTAAGCTGGCCAAAAAGCTAAGCTCTCCGCAACTTGGACTAAACTGGTAGCTTACAGGTTGGGGAATCGAGTAAAGTAGGCAAGTCGTTCGTTGGGTTTTCAAAGGGTGATAACTCCCACTTGGAGTTGGAAAATATTGACAAAGTCTTAAAACTATTTTTTTTTTATAATATGTCTTCAATATTTTCTTAAAGATTAGTCAGAAATTTTACTTAAATATATATAAATATTTTACTTTTTTGCTTTAGATATGTCTTAAACTTTCTTTAGAACTTACATTTTGAAAAATGCCCAAATGTAGTACTTTAATAAATATCAACCCTGCGTAAGTCTAGTGTTGTGTAGCCTTTAAAAACCCACCCCCATTTATGGCTAAGACGTCACAGGTTCTTCAACCACCGCTCTCCATTTAGCTGGCGGCCCACACAAAAAGCTGGGAATTATTTTGTGCGCCGACGCAGTTTTAACGATTTCCAAGTCGCAGCGAAGAAGCCACTGGCAAAATAAAGTACAACGGCTGCGGAACTGCGTTGTAGTAGTAATTTTTTTTGCACACAGCGTGGGCATTGCAAAAGTCTCTTAAAAAATTAAAATTAATTGCGAAAGTCTACAAACCAAAAAGTAAGCAATCCGTGAAAGCATATACACCTAGTTTAAGCCATAAAACCTGTCAACTTCTGGACGGAATACAGCTTGGAAATTGGCTTACCAAAAGGCCAAAGTGATGCTGTGAAAATCAGTTGATAAGAAAATTGGCAAAGACAGAGTGTTAAATGTGATAAGGCTATTTCAGATAAATTAAAGAAATATATAGAGTTATAGAAAATTAAAAATAGACACATTTTCCATAGAACTGGGAAAACTAAAGAAGAAAACTCAGCCAACTCCAGGTGTATGCGAGTGTGTGCTTGTGGTGCGGGGGTTGTGATGATTCATGCGACGCAGACAATCACCCTGGGCGCATATGTGAGTGTATGGGTGCGCGCGTGTGTTCCCAAGTAATGCAAATAACAACAAAAGCAAACCTCTCAGCATAACCTGGAGGCAGCTGCTCTTCTGCCCACGTCAAAAAAAAAGAAGAAATATCGAGCCTCTAGCATACATTTGTGCGCAAAATCGTTGTGCAAACACATTTTCACGTGCCCCGGAAAAGTTGCAAACAAACGAAAGACATTTGCCACAAAGTTCGAAATTGTGACTAATTGTTATTCCACTCACACACACACACAGCTACGAGGAACATCGAGTGGCAGATCTTGGAGAGCGGCGAAGCCACCACATCCACTAAAATGGCCGAAGAGTATATACCAGATGTCAGCGTCATGGACACGAGTAAGTAACATATTGCAGCAACGAACGCGAATCGGTCCAATTTGCTCATTAGGAAGTTCCTCCAAAAAAATGTTGCCAAGAAGTTTTTCCAAAAAGTTTTTTTTTCCTCCTACCAGCAATGAATATTTAATTTGGGGGAATCACATTCGTTTGTCCATTTTAAGGGCTGCAGGTTTTTATGTGGTTTAAATATTTTATTTGTTTGCTTTCTTAGATCAAAGCTTAATTGAGGAGTTAAGCGTATTCAATGTGCTTTTTATTTTACTCTTAACAAAGAAGTAGCTTCACCAATAACACACAGCTGTTGGGTTAGAGTTTTCCCTTTTCCTTTATTCGTCAAAGCGGTGACTAATCGCAAAATTGAGTTTTATTTTCTGCTATGAAATGCAAAGAACGAAAGGTAAAATAACTAGAAAATTTTTTAACGTTTTTAACATATATTGAGTTATTATTCTTATAAAATATTTAATATTCCATTATGTGTTTACGTTGTATAATCTTTCATTTAGTGTAATGTAATCCTTTTTAGCCCATTGGTTGGTTACAAGTTATACAAATTTATAAAAATAATATAATTATATTACATAAACCAGAGTATATGCATATTTAATATAGATAAGTAGAACGAATATGTAGTAAATATGAGCTTACTGGCCAAGTAAAAAGAAACTGAAGCCATATTGGTAGAGCTTTTGTGCATTTTATGACCCCGAGTTATGACACTTTAGTCATAAAAAGTGCGGGAAGAATTAAATAAGGATAGTAAGTAAATTTTGTAAAAGGAAAAAACTTGACTTGGGTGAATAGAATGAGCTTTATGTTTAGTTTGTGACTTTTTGCCATGATTTTATTTTGTTAATGATAATAAATTTATATAATTAAATTAATAAAAGTTCGATTACAAATGAAATTACTGAAATGGAGTGCATTTATATAATTTCAAAGGATTATTTTACATTATTTCTAACACATTCACTCTCCCTCCCCACAGTTGTGCCCGCCATCCTGGGCCTGACCGCCGCTGCCGTGCTCTCGTCGGTGGCCTGCATCTGCGCCAAGCAGATGCGCATCCGGAACAAGAAGCAGGGCCAGCACGATGCCTCCTTCCCCTTCCAGCCGACCCGGCGTCCGACTGCCGTTCGCTCGCCCAGCGGCCAGCCGCCGCACTATTTGAAGAAGTCACCCTCACCGACCGGAGGCAAGCAGATGGGTCTGCTCTCGCCGATGCAGGACCAGTCCACTTCCCCAATTGCCCAGCCCAATGTGCGGTATGGTGAGGATGATGAGCAACCGCATCCGGAGCAGCAATCGGGCAACAAACTGACCGTGGTGGATGGCAATGGTCTAAAGCAGGTGCAGCACAACAATCACCACCACTCGCCAGTGGAGACTATTGCCAACGGGAGCGTGACCATCACTCTGGACGACCAGGCGCTGGCCAATGGCAAGGAGCTGACCGTGACCGATCAGTACGGCAAGCTGGGCACCATCTACTTCAAGCTGCGCTATCTGGCCGAACGGAACGCCCTGATGGTCTCCATCATCCGCTGCCGCGGGCTGCCCTGCAAGGGCGGATCAGGAGGCACCGGCGACATACCCACCGGCATGAACGGACGCACCCAGGCTGCCACGGATCCGTATGTTAAGCTGCAGCTGCTGCCGGATAAGCAGCACAAGGTAAAGACCCGCGTGGTGAGGAATACCAGGAACCCGGTCTATGACGAGGACTTCACCTTCTACGGCCTGAATATGAACGACCTGCAGAACATGTCGCTGCACTTTGTGATCCTCAGCTTCGATCGGTACTCGCGGGACGACGTCATCGGCGAGGTGGTGTGCCCATTGTCCTCCATTGAGATTGGTGACATTTCCAAGGAGGCCCTGTCCATCAGCAAGGAGATTCAGCCGCGCAGCCTCAAGATTCGCGCCCAGGGACGTGGCGAATTGCTCATCTCGCTCTGCTGGCAACCAGCAGCCGGTCGTCTCACGGTGGTCCTCCTGAAGGCCAGAAACTTGCCCCGCATGGATGTCACCGGTCTGGCCGATCCCTACGTCAAGATCTATCTGCTTTACAATGGACAACGCATCGCCAAGAAGAAGACCCACGTGAAGAAGCGGACCCTGAGCCCCGTTTTCAACGAGAGCTTCGCCTTTGATATTCCCGCCGCCGAGGTGGGTTGAAAACTCTTCTAAAATATGCTTTTAGATAAATATTATTCTAAAATGCAAACCCCTTTCCTGATTACAGGGCACTGGCGCCAGTCTGGAGGGTGTGTCCTTGGAGTTGATGCTGCTTGACTGGGATCGCGTGACCAAGAATGAGGTAAGTCTTACTTGGCGGGAGACCTTTACTCAAAAATTACATGACTTACCTTTTCCGCAGGTTATTGGTCGCCTGGAGCTGGGCGGACCCAACTCGAGCAGCACCGCCCTGAACCACTGGAACGAGGTGTGCAACTCGCCGCGCCGCCAGATCGCCGAGTGGCACAAGCTGAACGAGTAGGCAGTGGGATGAGGCAACCACCGCCTGGGCGCTGGCGCCGTTTAGGGAGAGGGAACAGAAGCAGGAACCGGAAATCGGATACAAAAGCGGAAGCGAGAGTCATACGGTTCTTGAGTATGAGCTCGATCCCAATCTGAATTCGACTTGTGTTTAGTTTTTATAATTTTTATATATTTCATTCGTAATGATTTCCTAAGTTTTCCTTAATCTGTTGATTTCTGGGGAAGAAATACTTCCCTAATTGGGTTGCTTTCCAACAGAGTCCCCGAGGGCAGTTAAAAAATATTTAGCAAGCAACCAACCAAACCACTAAGTAAATTAAATGTATTAGAAAATGTTTAGGACCTAAAGAATGCATGTAAATGTAAGATAATTCAGAAGCATCGTACTATATAAATGTTTGCGAAATGCGAAAATGTAATGTGCAAAGGAAAATTCAACCTACTTGTAATGAACACCGATTTTTGTTGCTGTATAGAACTTTGATTATTCAACGCTTCGAGTAACCTTCATCTCCTCTCTGTATGATTTTCATATCAAGTCCCATTTGATGTGCCCACCACAAAGGAAAACTGAACTCGGCTCTCGATAGCTACACGAAATTATTAACCAGGCATGCATATGTATAAAATATCTATGATGATACCCAACTCTTAGGCATAATGTTTGTGTATAATTTGGTTACGATTGCTTTGGGCTTTCCGTTCAATTGTAAAGTAATCAAAACGAACACCGAGACGAGGCTCTGGCTGGGTGTCCAGATAGAAGCTTACTGCTTATCACTTTATACGTACTCCCTAACATAACTAAAACTACATACGAATAAAAGGTAAACCAAATTGAATCTAGAGAGAACACGCAGCAGAATGCTTAGCACCAAGAAGCTACAAAACCACACACAAAATCGAACGAACAGGTCAGAGGAAAACCAAAGGGGAAAACATCAATTCGGAGAGAAATCAACACACAAATCGACACCGTAATGTAAGCAGCATAGTACACGTAGAAATCGAATACCACTAACTCTAGAGTATACCACACTCACGAATAGCTCAAACCGAACGCAATACCTACTCTCGAGCTCCAGGGAGTATCTGGCGGCACTACATATAGCTGTAAAGGAGATAAAGGACATAGGGGATCTCCGGAGAAAGCTTAGCTTGCGGAAGAAGACACCGAGTCATTATCACCGAGTGTACTGAATGCAATTATGAACTATAACCGACCTACATATACATATATAGACATCAGACCGCTTCTTCGTATATTTTGTAAAATGAATGTTAGTCCATTGAAACCCTTGAATAACTCGTACGTACATACAGCCATAAGGATATATACAGGCATCCGAGAGAATGCAGAATACAACTTCACTTTGTGTCCAATCAAAACTTCAATTCGTCTAATGGGAAAACAATAATTACCAGTACATATGCGATGAGCTATTGCAATGGCACCCAAATTATATGAGATGTGTATAATTCTACATTATATGTAATAGTAATTGTAAGCTACATAAAATGGTTAATTTCCGTAATAAAACATATTATATAAAATAAATGTAGACGCCTGCGTATGAGATTTTTCACTTTGGTGGGTTTAAAAAAATGAATCTTGATTGCTTCTATTTAAAATAAATATTTTCCGGTAAGTTATTCAGATTCTGCGTATCAAAATTACTTGGAATAGGTGACTGTTTTACCGGGACCATAATTATATGTCCATAGTCTTTATCATTTTGCAAACCCTTGGGTATTCTAATTTTAGTCAGATGTTTGCAACGCTGTGAATTAATAATTTTAAAGCCTATAAAGTACACCTATTCCTGATCAGCAACAACGTCCTAGTCTGCTCACTTCGAACTATCTGAATAAAGTTTTATTTTATTGCTAGATCGGATGATTGTATAGCTGCCATTTGAATGATCGCTCAACTTTCAGAAGCTGAGAAAAAAATGGCTTTTGGTTTTATTCTATAAATTGTTTTTAAGTGTTATTTCCAATTCAAAAGAATCGACCCAATGGCAAAGCATATACAAAACTCGGCTAATCACATACATATGGCTTAATGTCTTTTTGTGATTTAATCTAAGTCTTATCTGCTTCGCATATATATGTATATAAATAGAAAAAAAAAAAATATATATGCATTATTCTTTCTGATAACATCGGCTTCATTAAGCTTCCAAATTTAGGTCCCGAAATCAGTATAATTTTGGATTTGCTGCGGAACAGTTTGAATTAATTCGCGTCTGAATATTTACTTGTGTCGCCTTGTTAAACAATCGGGTCAAAATATGATAATATATAGATCTCTGAGGGACTTCAGTGTTCTTTTAGTAATTCTATCCTTTATAGGTGTGTTTTTCTACTAAATAGCAAGAATAACCTATACTCATGTTTAACTTAATATGTTCTACAAGTGACTGTTTTAAGTGTTTTCGGCTTATCTCAAATAATTTGTTGATTATAAAATGTATAAGGGCAATGACTTTATATGTCTCTAGAATATGAATCATCTTACAAAAGCCTTTAATTTAATAATTTACAACACTTCTATCAACTTTTATCAATAAAGAGATCGAAAATATCAATTTGACAATAGTCCCCTACTCCGAAATATATTTAGTAAATGCCATTATTCTTATCAAATATACATATATTTTGTTCACGTTTCTTGTTTTATGGGAATGATTTCATTATATTTTCTAGATTTTACTTTGGCTTTTGTGTGTATAACGAAACAGGGAAACACTATTAAGGCGCATGAAATATGCAATGGAATTATTGACTGTTGTGAAAAAAACGAACCTAATTGCGGGGACGAACGCTTTGCGTTGTGCTATAATAAAAAATGTGACGACGAAACTAAGTTCCAATGCACTTACGGCGGCTGCTTGGATAGGGCTCTCAGATGCGATGGTAAAACTGATTGTTGGGACGGCAGCGATGAGAATGATTTCGAGTGCTTGGAAGGTGCCGCCCTGGAGAATGCTTACGAAGATCTTAAAGGGGAGTATGAGTGAGTTTACTAAATATCTTGTCCGTGACTGGCTGGGTTAACTGTTTCTAAAGGAAGCCAGTCACGCTCTCATTAGGGCTAAGTCAACCAAATTTATTCTATGCTTTCCAGAGGTGATCAAATCCTTGCCTGTGAGGGGAAGGAGCCCCTGCCATGGAGTCTTGTGTGCGATGGTCAGGCGGACTGTAGGGATGGTAGGGACGAAGACCCAAAACTATGTTCTGCCATTGAGTGTGAACCGCCACACTTTAGGTGTCTCTACGGCGCCTGTGTCAGTCAAAAAGCACTCTGCAACCATGTTCTCGACTGTCTAGACGGCTCCGACGAGATATCGGAAATTTGCCAGGAACTTCACCCGCAGACCAAAAATTCGCAGACCCAAGGTTTTAAGGCAACATCCAATTGGGATGAGCTGTTTTGCAGCCTGGAGAATGACCCATCTAACTCCCTGATTGTGGAGAACTACGTGGGTAACAACACATTTCGGCCGAATGCCAAGGTGCCTCAAGATACGGTGGTCTCCCTCAGCTGCAAACCCGGATTTCGCCTAGATGGTAAGGAAAAAAACATCTGCACAGGCAACTCCTGGCGATATAAGTTGGCCAAGTGCGTGAAGGAGTGTAAGCACACCGCGAGTGTCCTTCAGACCAGGAAGTGCACCCTAAATGAGTTGCTGATTGACTGCGATCAGCCGATGTTGCCGCAGGGCACTCGGATGACAGTCTTCTGTGCCTCCGGTGCCGAGCACGAGACGCCGGGTGTGCAGATCTGCGATGCCGACGGAATATGGGTGCCCGAGGCTAAGCTTCCAATATGCAAGCCGATTTGCGGCAAGTGGGAGGTGAAAGATGACGAACGATCGCCACCCTGGCTGATGAGCATCTTCCGACGGGGTCACGAGGCGAACTTCACGTTTGTCTGCAAGGCCACGATCTTGTCGCCGTATATCCTGGTGACGACGGAGGAATGCTTTCGCGACATAACCATCAAGAGTGTGCCCTCCAAGGAGCCCGTGCTCTACACAGTTGCCGAGGGCCATCCCCAGACGTTCTCCTTTTGGGCGCACGGATCGCATCCCTACAAGCTGCATAACGTGTCCTTAATTCACACTTTCACGTAAGTAAGAAGGGTGTTTCTCTAAAATTTCTTAGCAAATAGAATCTTAATCGTTGCCATACGTTACCAGTTTGCTTACCAGTTACCTTTTTTCGCTTTATCCAGGGTATCGGAACACCCCCTGGCCCTGGTGCAGTTGCTCCATCCTCTGGAGTTCGGCGCTTGTGTTAGACCAGTGTGTCTAACAGAGGAGGCTCCCAGAAATTTCGTCCAGGTTGTTGACCACTCAGTTGGGCTAATGGGTGCGGCAGTGATCAGCGAGAAGAAGGGGCGGTACGAGCTGAGCGCAATCATAAGCTCCGGGAAAAAGTATCACATCAGTGCGTTCATAAAGGACATCCAAAAGGACATTGAGCTGACAGAGTCGAAGGGGAACATTTAATTCACTTTATTACGGGCTGAGTTCGTGGTTAATCGGAAATCAATTTACATCAACTGAGGAACACACATCTACTGTTGACAATTATTTAGGTATGCATATTCGGCTATCCGTTCGATCGAGGTCCGATGGGGAACGGGAACTATACTCTGAATTCGAATATTCGTACTGTAATCTGTTTGTAATCGTTAAACGGTAAAACAATAATCATTTAGCTCGGCTATCTGAATACCCCAAATGTTTCTATTAATGCTTCTTAGAGTGTGTTGGTGTATGTGTGTGTGAGTTGTGGGTCAGAGTTCATTTTGCTATTCACTTACAAGGTAGGTATTTTGTTGTGGTTTTGTTTTTGCTTTTGTTTTCTTTACATTGAGATTGCATTCTGGAGTTAAACACTAGCTATGGGTTAGTTAATATTTAGTTAGATTTATATTAATATTAAAGTTAAAATTACTTTAGTTAATAATACATTACATTTGATGTTGCCATACTCGTATTTAGGTTTAGTTTCTGCCATTTAGTACGAAATTTTATAGGACACATTCAGTTTTGCTTAGTAACTGCGGTAAAAACTCTCTTTAAAATGTTTGATATCGTTAGCTTTATCTTTATCCTTATGGTGTTCGGTTTTCTTTTTCTTTTTCGTTAATTTTGATCACTTCAGTCTTTCCAAAAAAGTAATACAACATCTCTGTGTGGGCTCTCTGTTTGAATCCGTCTTCGGGTTTTGCCTCTGCCAACATCTATGTACTTAGAAAATGTTCTGTCAAAATAGTTTTTTCATCTATCGCATAGTTCCATCTATAGTTTTGAATTTTAATTAACTTTATTTTATTTTGTTTTGTTCACGAGAAACTTCTTTCAGAAATTTCTGAATTTAATACGATACACGTAAACAAATATATATTTATATATATTTATGAAGATTTAATGTAAATTACTTTTGCCGGTTAGTTTCTTTAGGTTGATGTATATTTATGTACATATATCGGCGTAGTTTGCAGCTTCTGATTTCAACTCTGCCATTGATTCAGGACTGCGAGATCCGTTTGTGCATCGAAAATAAATACATTATCAATTATATATACATACTGAGCCATATAGACGACGTCTTGGACAACTTATGGATGGGAGGGAGAGACTTTTGCCGGACAGAGGGTGGAGTTCATATTCCGAGACATCGTGTAAACTTAGGCTTGGACGGTGTTAGTCAAATCAGAATACGCATTGTGGCTTAACCTCCAGTTACCTTAACCGAAACAGAACCTGTCGAAACTACCATCAGTCCCTAACGCTCTACGACTAACTACAAATTAATACTGTACAGGAATGCACGCCTCGTCCTTGCTGGGATAAATAATCGTGGTCTGTTAACGCGAAACTTAGAAGTACGACCCTAGCTACCCCTTCTCCTTGCCCGGGCCCACGCTCACGCCCAGGAGGTGCTCGCCGGCCATCAGGCCCGCCGGCTGGTGGGCATAGTTGCGGATCTGGTGCAGCGAGATCAGCTGGTTGGGGAACGCGTTGGCATTGTTCTGGTTCACGTTCTTGTTCGGGAAGCTGATGGCATCGTAGAGATAGGGCCGCTGGGCCATCGGATGGTGGCTCAGCGAATTTAGGTGCGGCGGCATGGAGTTGATCGGCGTGAAGGCCGAGTTGCTGGCGCTCTTGGCAATGGACGCTGCATCGTAGGGGCCCACGGCGCTGGGAGTCGAAACTGGAAAGAGGAAAAAAATGGAAAGCAAAGTCGAGGGTTACAATAATATTACCAAACAATTTTTAAGCTCCTCTGCCGTCGGAAAATTAAGTATAAAAATGATTTTAAAATTTCTTAAAAAAAAAGTGTTTTTAACTTAATAAAAATTATAAGAGCTCTCATAAAGGTTGAGTCAAGATTACGAGCAACCCAAAGAGCTTTAATATTATTTTTAAATCTCTCTTAAAATATATAAAGAGTGCATCTCTCACCTATATCCTCCCGCACTGGATCCGGCATGCGATGGTGCGTCTGCAGCTCCGTTCCGTGCCCATTGCTCTGGGCGCTGTTCGGCGCCGTCGGCTGGACGTAGTGCGCCTCCATGCCATGCTGCGGCGGCGGCTGCTGCTGCTGTGAATGATGGTGCTGTTGCTGCTGTTGTTGTTGCTGCTGCTGCTGTGGCGGGACATGTTGCTGCGGGGGCACTCCGTGCTGTGGATGATGATGATGGGCCTGTTGCTGCTGCTGCTGTTGTTGCTGCTGCTGTTGCTGCTGCTGCTGCTGTTGATGCATCACCTCCATGGCATTGGCGGCAGCGGCAGAGTCCGGACTCACCTTGGGCCAATAGCCATTATCGCTGGGCGCTATGGAAACGGGTGGAAGGCCCAGGTTATTGCGTTGGTGCTGAGCGGCTGCGGCGGCGGCGGCGGATTGGGTATTGGTGGGCGTCTGCTGAGGAGGTCCGTTGGCGGGATTGGCGGCAGCGGCAGCCGCTGCCAGGGCAGCTGCACTGCCCGGTACAATCGGTGGCCTCTTGTCCGTCCGCTCGGCGTGCTTCTGCATGTGCTTAGTCAGGTAGGTCTCCTGCGTGTAGGACTTGCCACAGTACTGACAGATGTGCGTCTTCAGGTGCTTGGACTCCTTGTGCTTGGGTATGTGCTCCAGGAGCGAGGGCTCGTCCGAGAAGCACTTGTAGCAGGAGTTGCACTTGAAGGGCTTATCCGTCTGGTGGCAGCGGGAGTGCGACTGCAGGTTCGAGAGCTGCGAGAAGGCCTTCTGGCAGCCGGGATGCCGGCACTTGTACGGTTTATCGCCCGTGTGCGTCCTGATGTGCTGTTGCAGGTGCGAGAGCTGCGTGAACTTGCGCTGGCAGATCTCGCAGCGGTACGGCTTGATGCCCAGGTGGATCCGCGTGTGCTGCGACAGATACGACGAGTTGGCGAACGCCTTTGAACACTGCGTGCACTTGTACGGCTTCGCCTCCCGCATATGGATTTGCGTGTGCAGCTGTAGGTCCGCCTTCGAGCTGAAGATCTGCGGAGAACAAATGTGGATATTTAAGTTTGGGTTAAAATTTAAAAGACTGAGTTCCTAGCTGGCTAGCTGCTGGCTGAACGAGTTCATTCATTATCAAACTGTTTCAGATTCTTCAGAAACCAGTTTAAAGTGTTAATGAAAAGTTACAATCAATTTAATTCTTCCCAAAAATGTTCTAACATAAATTTTTAATATTTAAACTTACATATCGCAAAAGTATTATATCCATTTTTTTTCTTACTCCCTATGAATGCTGAACTCAAGGATACAGTCCTCGCTAACCGGAAGATCAATGCGAACACTAACAACTCCTATAGCGAACCGAATAGGATTTATGATTTGTTTGTATATCATTTGTTTAAAGAAACCAATTGTCCTTAATACAAAAGCTTCCTAAGATTTGTATTCATTTTAATTTATAAAAACAAAAAACAAAGACTAGCATTGAGTACTAGATTTATACTTAATAAAATATCTCTTTTAAGGTGTAACTAAGTGAATATGAATGATTTATCAATCTCAGCTTGTTGGAAATTGAAATGATTAGTCAAAGTAATATTTGGTATTATATCCTGAAGGTTTTTGTAAGCTCAGGACTTCATTAGAAAAAGTTTATCCCAAAAAACACAAAAATATCTTATCACATTTGTTTTTGACATTGTAAATAAGAAATTAAATTAATTCAAACAAATTTAATATTGCTTTTGTGTTTAACTAAAGTCTCCTTTAGTTAATCAACAAATTCACCCACGCTCTGAACCATGTAACCACCTTGGTATCCTTTACGTCCAGCTGGGACATGTGATGCGGCGAACTAGTGGAGGAGGAGATACCGTTCCCGGATCCCGCTGTCGCTGCCACGACCCCAGTACCGCCAGCTCCAGCCCCAGCCCCAGTGACCGGATTCTGGGCATTCCTTTCGTTCAGCGTGGCATTTTGCATCCGGATGCCGCCATTGTCTACGCTGTTGCTGGTCACGACGATGTGCTGGTTGGGATTGGGATAAATACGCGACTTTCGGCCCCTGGTGGAGCCAGTGGGTGCCGTTCCGGTGGCGGTGACGGCGCCCGAGGAGCTGCCGCTGCTGCTGCTGACCACCGCCTCGTTGACATGCTTCTGGGTGCTGCTCACCGGTCCGCTGGCCACCGTCGCAGAGGTGACGCTACTTTCCAGGTTCGTGATGCTCGGCTTCGAGTCTGGAACCAAGTGGTACTGGTGCTGTTGCTGCTGCGGATGGGGATGCGGATGCTGTTGCTGCTGTTGTTGCTGCTGGTGCGCTGGGTGGGACTGCTGCTGGGGCTGCTGGCTGTAGCTGAGGACGGAGTTCCGCAGATCCGCCGTGTTGGAGAAGACGCTCAGGGGACCCAGGGCGACGCGCTCGTTCAGACTGTTCCGCAGGTGGTCGATGGACCTGTGCACGGCGTGCGAGTAGTCCCCGCCGGCGGGCGGTATCTCCCCGATCAGCGGTGAGTTGTGGTGGTAGTCGAGGCCACCGCCTATCGGACGGTACTCGATCAGACGGCCCTCCATTTGGCTGCTTATTAAATCCAATTTGGCTTTCTAGATTCCTCTCAGTCCTCGCACTTTATGATTTTAGGTTAATGTTTTCAGTATTTGATTTCTTTCACTTTTGATTTCTGAAGTTTTCGTATAGATGTATTAATTATTATTATTTTTATTTAATTGAGGAGATTTTATTTAGTGAATTTACTTGATATTGCTTTCAAGGCGTAGTTTAAGACGAATACCGTGCGTATGCGTAACTTTTAAACTTGGTTTTAATTACTTTTACTTTGATTTCTAAAGTTTTCACATAGATTTATTATTATTTATTATTATTTATATTTAGTCAAACATATTTTATTTACTGAATTTGGGAGAGTTTTAGATTTTATGTTCGTTTTAAATATACAGTTCAAGAAGAATACCGGGCGTATGCGTAATTTTTGGATTTTGTGTTGATAAATTTTAGTTTGATTTCTGAAGTTTTTATACAGATTTATAATTTATTATTATTGTTTTTATAAATAATAATGAATTTGGGTAAACTTTTAGCCTTGATATTGTTTTCAAGGAGTAGTTCACGAAAATTATGGGGCGTATACGTAATATTTGACCGTAGATCAGGGATTTAGTGTTTAGATTTTACGGAGACTTCTTTATTTTAATTTTTTTATGGTTTAGAAACGTTATGCTTCGCAAGTTGCAGTATCATTAAATTGTAAAGCCAAAAATCGTTTCAGATATGTCCTTCTTCTCAGATCTTATTAAGGGCAAACTGTCTTTTGATTTTCCCAAAAGAAATATTTTTCTTTTATAGCTTCTTGAAATAATTGTATTGGCCATAACAATGTTAACTGGATTTTCAAACACAATTCTCCAGTCAGCAAATCCTTTCCAGAATTCCACCTAGTTTAGCGTTTAATGAATGCCAAAGCAACAATTTGCGGAATAGAATAAAATTGCTGGAACTACGCGGACGCTTGAGCGCTTTGTTGACATTCTGCCACAACTGCCAAAGCCAATATTAAATAAAGGGGGAATAACAAAAACGGAGCTCAGCTGAAAACCTGCGAGACGAGACCGCAAAAACGCTTTGGTCCCGACTGACTGCACCGTCGAGCCGGAAAAGCGACTTTTTGTCTTCGCTTTTGTTGTCCTAAATCTAACGCCATTTTTTTGTCGCAAATTTTACTTTTTATTTTGCATTTTCAATTGCTACGCCTGTTCACAATTTTTTTCTTATCCCCCGTTAACGTTTTTTCGCGCGACAGGAATATTTTTTCGCCACGATTTTCAGCGCTCTCCGCTTTTCCGTTTTCTATTTTCTATGCATTCCTCTTTTTGGTCCGACTTCGATTAGATTTTTTTCTATATATTTGTATAAATGCCTGCCGCTGCTTTTTCAGTTTCCCTCCCCAGTTTGCTATACATATATATATTTTTTTTCGGTTAGACAGTCATTCAGGCGCAGACATGCCGCAGACATCCTGTGGAATTTTCCAGGTGAAAGTCCTCGATGGTATTTTTTGCCCTGCTGCTTTTATTGTATTTGAAATGCTCCAATTTGAGATTTTCTATTTCTAAACGCGACAAATTATTCATTCATGGTTTGAGCGTTGTGTTTGTACTAACGTGATGTTCGTGTGGCTGTTTTTCATCTTGTTTTTATTAGTTAGTTTAGATAGCAGCTGATGCGCAGCATTGGCCTTGAATTGCATTTTTGTGGGTTAGATTTTCCGATTCGGAAAAATGACGACTAAAAAATAGATTTGTCAACACTTTTCGCGTGTGTTTACTCTGGCTTCGATCGAACATTTTGTGGTTTGGGCTTTAATTACGGAATTAACACATTCCTGATTAACGAATTATTTATGAAATTGATATGTAAGAGTTGAGAGGTCTCCGAGATTTAATTGACATGACAATCGGCCGCGGAATGCCGTTGAAATGCGAATTGAATTTAAATGAGGATTCTGCTCGCGGGTCCTTTTAATTTATTTTTAATAAATGGATTCCCATCGGCTGTGTTAAGGTGACAGTAACTTCTAGCCAAGTGATCTATGGCCATTATGGAGCACATTTCTCATTTCCACACAAAAGGATATATAGAGAAATGTGTGTACCCACACCTGCCATTGCCAGCCAGGTGGTGTGATATCCTTTTCCCCTTACTGGTTAGCTAAATATTGACGTTTTTTGATGCAAGCATTTAATTTATATAGAAGACTGAACAAACATTCTGCATAGGCGTGTACATAAGAGGATTGCACATAATGTAAAGATGAAATAAAAATGAAAAACTGAACAAAATCACAAACAAAAGGCAAAAAAAGGAAAAAAATATATTAAAAACTGGGGAAATATGATGCTCTGTCTGTGTTTGCATTTGCAATCGGGCCGAGTTTGGGTTGGTTTTTCATATGCTGGCTCGGGACAGCGGGGGGGCTGTTTTCCGTTTGTGTTAATGCGTAGTTTGGGCTTTTAACTAATTAACATTTAGCGGTTTGGCAATATTTTCGCCCGGCTCTCCAGGCGCATTACCTCACACATTGCGGGGGATGTTATTAATTGAAAATTGTGTAAAAAGTTCTGCGCGCTCTTTTATTATTCATAATTCGCTGTTGTTGCTGTATGTTTTTGTTAAATTTTTTGTTGTTTAATTCTGATTAATGCATTTTTCACACCGCTCTTTAGGTTTTTGTATTAACTCGTCCAGAATCACAAAAATATTTCGCTTTTTTTTCGTCAGTTGATGAAAAATGCATTGCCCGATGTTATGCGATATAATTTTAATAATTTTTTCTTTGTGTCCGCCTTTTTTACATGACCAGTTTCTTATGCATTTTAATGATATTTAATTTCACGTTTTGCCATCGGAGTTTGTTTTGTCTGCCTGTTTGCACTAATCATTAATTAATTTCACATCACTTAAAATATGCAATTAATATTATGTGAGCTTGGCGTAATTAAAAATTATGAGTTCAGCCTATTAGAAGTCTACGCCCGGGGATCCGTTATGCGATGTTGACGCCGCGCTAGTCTTTGATTAACTGATCGGAGGTCCCCATGATTTCTGACCTCATCAGCCGAAAGCAGGAGGGCATCTGTTCCTCGTCGGATCGAAGCGATTAATACCCCGAAATCTCACTCTGGCGGTGGCCCCAGGATCTTCTCAGCATATCGGGTGTCGAGGTCCCGGAAAACCAGCCTGCTGGACCAGCCCCGAATCAGGTGTTTCGAGCTGCCCAATTAACTTCAGGCTGATTGGTTCAGATCCACTCGAGGCTCGAATCAGTCCAGTCAAGCGGAAAAGTCTTTGGTCAGCGAGCTTTTGGAAATGTGGTTTGGCTTGAGAAAGTGGACCTGACAGGTCAGCGGGTTTTCTGATTTTGATTAGGATCATCAATTGAAAACTAATGACAAACCAGCGAACTTGCGGATCACAGAATAAAATCAAATCATTTTGTGTTATTAATGTAGAAATGTAATGTTTT